TTGGCGTTCGGACAACGACATGACAAACATGCCGAGCGGGTGTCGGGCCATTTCCATCACTTGTCCTTCTCCCTATGCGGAAGGGTTTGATTATTAACAAGTTTCCCTGTTTCCCTTGTTCCGCATGTCGTGTAGAGAGCCCTGGTCCTTGATTAAGAGAATCTGGGCGCGGAGCTGGATAGCTGGCCGAGGCCCCCGGCCTGCACACTAAGCCGCCAGCCGCATGTATGTCATCTACCGCACGATACGTAAGGGTCACAGCGGAGGGTAAGGCAATCCGACGTCAGTGGAATCGGTCTCCTTGGACTTGCTCACCGCAAGCTATGAATATCGCAATGTTGCTGCTGAGGAAGGGCAAGGTGCGCTACCGCACCCGAGTCAAGAACATGCAAAATCTCAATGCCAGATCAAGGCGGCGGTGAGCAGTTCTGTTGGTGGTTGTGCTACGTAAGATATGGCCTCTAGACGGTGTGTCCTGGTCCATTGATAGTTGGCGACGGTGCTGGTGTCTGGTACGTTAGACTAGAATCAAAGGGCAGCCCAAATCGACTTCAAGGCAGCCCACCACACCCAATTGCCAGCTGACCGACACGTAACCAAACTCCTCGAACTGTTTTCTCGAGCAGATTGGGTGCCAGCAATCTACATTGGGCACGAGACTTAGTCCTAACCTAGGTAGCCAGAGTTGGCGTCTGCGTCTTGGACTGTGACCTCCCGAATCTAAGGTTAGGTAGCCAGATTGCGTAGTGCTTCACAGCCCTGAGAAGCCTCAATTTAGTCAAACTTTGTACCTGACCTGGGCAGGTGGTTTCGGCAGACCGTACTCGGAGGGGAAAAAAGACATTAAAGCGCTGGCGGGAGTTGTTCATTGCGCGTCGGACTAAAGGTAATGTAGTAGATGCCTCCCCACGTTGGGGTGTCCGTTGCACAGACGGCCCTTTGCCAGTCTCGTACCTCGTCCCAAGGCTAGACTAAGGTTGCAAAGAAATTCCCCTAGCGCGATTGCCTTACCAGGCCGTCGTCAGCAATGGAACGCCCGGAAGAAGCAAAGAACGGCGGCCCAAGGGTTGCGAAATGCGAAATGAGAAAAGGAGCATCCAAAGCTCTAGCACGGTGTCCAGGTGCCCTGCATAGAAGCAAAGACATATTCCCAGGTACGTACTCCGTGCCCATGATGTAGAGGGGTACCTCGGAGACTAGAGGAAACAGTAAGTGCGAGTAAGTTAAGGTTACAAGCCGGCCAACTTTCCCAGGTACCCTTAAGCAGACTTGGCTGTACGGCAGGCAGCAGATGGAGAGTAGCTACCTTATCCCGTCATATTAGGTAGTTCAAATAGGGAAAGAGAGACGAATAAGAAAGGAACAACTCGATAGAAGATCGGAAAGAGGGAAGGAGAGCGAGGAACCTCAGGCATACCTGACTTAGTCCTGTCGTCAGCAACTTGCCTCAATCTCAGTCTCAATGCTTCCAGTCATCCAAGGGTAACTAACCTTACGTCTCCCATCTCAACGCACAGCGGTCTACATGCTGTGTGCCGTTCCGATTTGCTCCACGTTTCTTCCCAAGAATACACAATCAATCTCTGTACGACGGCGCCATCTCTTCTCGTACGCAGCCTAATGTCACCAAACGGAGTCAATGTTTACTTCTTCACCTATTCTGCTGGCCATTAGTTGCTCCTTTATGTACCGCCCCGTCGTCAGGTCAGGTACCGATGCCGTGGACGCCGGTCCAGCTACGACACCGGACCCCCGAGACCCCTGGGAGAAAGTAGGCAAAGCTACGAACAGCCCAATCAAGCCATGTGTGGCTTGACTAGACGCTAAAGACGACGTCGTGGTCGCCTCATTGCCGTGGAGGGTGGACAACACCGATGGCGCTGGTGCGGCAAGATAAAAAGAAAAAGAACTACTACCGCTACTACTACAACCACCATACTATAGCACACAACGATGGCCAAGGATGCGACTGTGACGACCCCGACCGAAAGAGGGCTGCTTGAAAGCCGCTAGCCAGCAAAGCAGCGAGCAAGCATGCCCCAAGTTGCATAGCGATCATGGTTCATGGCAACTGATGCAGCCAGGCCACAAGCTCATACTTGGCCTGTCCGTCGCAGTGAAAACAATACCGCCCTGGTCCTGGGAGGCTTTGCTGGACGGACGCTGCACGCTGGGCTGCGCTGCATATCTGACCGCCAGTTCATCATCAGACCAAGGCAAGGGCCAAGCCGAGCACCACCAGCACCAGCACCAGCACCAGCACCAGAATCAGCGAGGCAAGGCAAGGCGAGGCAAAGGAGCGCTTGACCAGACGGAAAGGGAGGCATTCCCAAAACGAGACAAGACAGACTTTGTGAAGGCTGTTCCTGGCTCGCCCTCATGGATATGGCCGTGGGACATTGGTAGCCGGGCATGAAGGGCATTGATCAAATGTTTCTCAGTACAATCTAGCCCCAGCCCATCTGCGGGTAGTCAACCGCCCTCGACGACTCGTCGGCAGTGGCGCATTGTCACGGCCGCCGTTGGCTGTCCGGCCTCGTCGAGACAAGCCTCATCTTACATTCATTGTGTCGACCGCACAGACATCAGGCTTGCTGCAACTCTTCTTCGCTCTTGTTCTCCCGCTGCCGTTGCCGTTGCCGCTGCCAGATGCAGAGCACAGTACTGCGCTATACTGCCGGCTCTTTATTTTCAGACTGCTCAGCTCATCAAATCGATCCGCGCCATCGACTTGTCAATTGCACCAGCACTAGCCGCGGAAGGGAGCCGCCCAAGACAGTACAAGGCACACATGCAGCCTGCGTTTGCTTGCTCTCACAGACCCCCGTTGAACCCGTTAGGATCGGCGAACAGCATAAGCACAGGTTCAGCAAGTCGGAGATGCGCACAGGCAAAGGTGGAGGCTGTCCCCCCCAAATCAGAGGAGACGGGACCAGGGTAAGCCACAGTTGAGAGCAGTTCCTTCAAGTGTGCCCGGCCAAGCATCGGAACCCTCGTTGTCCCTCTTCGGCCGACCCATCCCTCCCATCAGTTGGGTACCTCCTCCGGTGTTCCAGTCTCCGATCCTCCAGACGCCTCTTAGTTTCTCGCCTGCTCGTTGCTCAACTATGCGCGCCGTCATACTTTCGTGTTTGACTTCTACGCGTGCCGGAGTTGGGGGGCCCAACCAACCATGGGTTCAACTCTACGAGGCTAACCGCTGCCTCCGAAGTGTCTGTCATAAGTAGCGGTTTGCGAGGCCTTCCCTATCAACATATCTCCTCGCCAGCTGTCTGCCTAGGAGAGTCAGCCGGCACAAAGAGGATCCCATGAAGCGGGAGCCCATCTACTACAACCCACCAGCATGCGCCTGTGCGAAGTCCGCTCGACTCTTCATTGCATCAGCAACCGCAGGTTTCAAACATGGGGTCCACAGCACCCGTATGCGGTTTCGTGACAAACTGCTGCCCACCGCATTCCGCCCTCTCCACGCTTGTCTTGCCCTAAACACACGCTCACTCTGTCGGGGACCCTAGGATTATGGGCCATGCACACTTGACGCCCTCTCAAATTTCCCGCCCTCTTCAACCAGATTCCCACCAGCCTCCAATTCGAACCGATGCTCTGCGAGTCTGGGAGGGAGCTGTGACCAGGTGTGGTCATCATACACGGACACGAACCAACCCTTATCCAAGCAATCCCTATGACCAGCGTTTCTTGGATCCCGCCTTTCGGAGAAGCTGTCATCCAGCTTGCTCCATTGACTCTGGCTTTGACACCGCATTAAACGCGCTGATCCAGGCGTACCACGGGTTGCCCATGGCCTGTTCTACCCAAGTACCCGAGAAGCATCATGCAAGAATTCGTGGCCATGCCATTTTAGCACCTAGCTTGGTAGCCGGACATTCGACCCAGTACTTGGAATTCCATTCTATTCTTTCTCTTTTTTTTTTTTTTTTTTTTTTTTTTTTGCCTCTTCTAACCTCTGCCCTCCTTGCGACAATGACCCCTCATGACCGGAGCTGCAATCTAGGGTGCCGACATACGGGAGAACACCAACCCCAGGCCAGACGCTAGACAGGGCATATCGCAGAGGGGTGTGTCTTCAAAAGAAAGCATGGCAGCCACCTGGTGTCTGTGAGCGCGCTGTGGGAAGGGGGGCGTGTGTCTTTCAAACATGTGCTCAAGTTGCCCATCCATGTCGGTTCCCAAACTATGCCTAGGTGAAAGTAGCCCTCAATGAGCCTTATTCGACAACCTCCACCGCATCGCATTCTTCAATGAGGGCAGGCCAACAGACGGACTGGCCCAGGCAAGGGACGGACGGCACCAACAAGATCCCATCATCTACCACTGGTCATTCCCTACCTATATGCGAGCTTGACATATAACTTCTGCCCTATTACTACGTTCACTGCTCGCTGCCGGTTGTTGCTGCTCGCGCTGGTGCTGTTTTGTAAAAGCTAACCAGCCTATGCCCTTGCCAAACACACACATCCTCACACACCCTCTTCACGCGCGCACACACGCACACTTCCCATCCGTACCCAAACCTCGTCCTTCTCGTCGTCTCTTCCTTCTCCACAGCCGCGGTGGCTCTCACACACACACACTCTCTCTCTCACTCACACTCTCTCTCACTCACTCTCTCTCCTTCTTGTTCGCTGCTGCTGCTAGGCTCGTCACTGTCATCGTCCTGGGTCTCAACTTCTCTCCTCCCACGCCCTTATACACACCCCTCCCTTACTCTGTCCCACTCCCCTCGCGTTTCTTTTTCGATGACTTTCCTCTCGTCAGTTTAAGAGTCTTTTGGGCCTGTCACTTTGTTAATCAGACCCCGGCTTCCGTCCCCCACTTCGTCCTCCACCTCTTCAACCCATCACCGTCCCTCAAACTACCACTTTCTCGGTCCATTTTAATTCTTTTCTCTTCCATTCACAAACTGCATCACCGCAAGTTCCCGACGTAGACCGGCTTGTACCTTGTTTCCTTGGCCTCTACCGACTTTCCGTAGGAGAACGATGACTCTGGCAAAGCTTCGCTTTCTGATGAAGACTTCTAGCAGCCTAGTTTGACCAACGTATACTTACGCCGCCGCCCTCTTTTTGCTGTCCGCCCGCCCGCCTGCCTGCGTCGACACCGAGCGAGCTCAATTTCCGATCATTGGTTGCTGGCTTCTCTGACTGGCCCAATCATGTTGATGACTTCAAAACTGCAAGCTACGCCGCCATCTTGATCTAAAACCAGGTCCCTTTTTCCTTTTCAGATCTTTCCCCCCTTTTGCCTACCCACCAGGATTAAACGGAACGCCTTTTCCTCTCTCACCAACTTCGCGATCAAAACCATCCATTGTTAAGATACGGCAGAATCAGAGAACTTTGTTGCCCTCACCACTTCCAGCAACGGGGCCAGCGTCACTGATCTCCACCGCGCTCAACCTGTGATCCTACTCTAACCCACCTCTGCCGTAATTCCCAACGAGTAGACTGCCCTGAACTTTACGTTACCCGCGAAGCGAAGAGAACTTTCAACGATCACCGAACAACCGTCCCCATTACGAAACTGGTCGGGATATCTTACCGACCTTCAACCTTTCAAGTCCATCAGTAACTGCCCTTCTTGGGTGGTGTCGAGAAAACCGAAAAGCTGGCGCGCGTCTATCGCGCCCATGACACCAGACCGTATCCAACCTACCTAGGCGGCCAAACCGTCACCGTGGATATCGCGTCTCTCCTAAAAGCTCCCGACTCAGATGAGTCCTCCACCGCTCCGCCTCAGCATACCCGATCTTCGTCAGACCCGTCCGCAACCGCAACCACGGCGGCCACAGCGCCTGTCAGCGGGCTACCTCCGTATGGCCCGCCTCCCGTAGCACCGGGCCTGGCTGTGAGCGGCAAGCGTGCCATGCCACCGCACGTAGCGGAGTCTCCGGCCAAGAAGCAGAGCAAGTGGTCGCCGGAGGAAGATGCCTTGATCATCGAACTTCGGGGGAGCGGGATGAAGTGGGAGGACATTTCAAAACGTCTACCGGGAAGAAGTGCCATCAGTTGTCGACTTCACTACCAGAACTACCTCGAGAGGCGGAGCGAGTGGGACGAGGAGCGCAAGAACAAGCTTGCACGGTTGTACGAGAGGTACGATTTGATCACTGTAGCATCGAAACCACTCCCTATGCGTTCCGTTTGTATTGAAAAGACGAAAACTGACATGTCAATTCAGGTTCAAACCGGAGATGTGGGCAAAGGTTGCGGAGGAGATGGCCGTTCCTTGGCGAGCCGCAGAGGCCATGCACTGGCAGCTTGGCGAAGCGGACATGGCTCGACGGGCCGGCGTTGTGCCCTTTTCTTTGACAGCAGTCAACGTCGACCAGCCTGGCGGTGGCCACCGGCACTCTCCTTCTCGGGGGCACATGCATACCCAGTCCCAGCCTAGTCTACCCCGGGACATCGGCGGACCTTCCCCTCGATACAGCCGACCACCACCACCCGGTATATCACCGATCCCCGGCGGACGAGTCATCGCCGCTCGACGCGAGAGCGTTCCCGGCAGGCCGTTGATGGGCCCGGACCCGAATGAGATGGCGACTATGGGGCCGGGAGGCCCTGGTTTGGCTCCGATCCAGGGGCTTCCGCCAGGCCGAGGCGGAGGCATGCTTCCAGGCGTTGCCGAACTGACTACCGGTGTCAGCCCCTACAGCACCCCAGCATATGCGATGGGCGGCATGCCTACGGCAAGCCCCGTGCCAAGCGCGAGGGCGAGCCCGGGACCGTTGCTTCCAGCCCTCCACTACCCACCGCCCCACGAGCAAGCCAGTGCGAAGCGACGAGCCAGTCCAGGCACAGAGATGATGGGCTCAAGGGAAACGAGCCGACGACGGCACATGGATCCCCGCCAGGAGGAGATGGATCGGCGACGCGTGGCGTGACTGTGAAGGCAGGGTGAAAGCGGTGATGGCGCGGCGAACTTTGGAGTTGGGAACAAAATTCTTTCTGAGGGGGGACGACAACGAATCGTCTCCCCCTTTTGATTTTTCATGAGAGCATGGGAAACCTCCGAGGACTTGTTTTTTCGTCCAACGTGTGCGGAGGCACGACACACGGCACGGGAACAGCATGTTGCATCGGGATTGGAGCAAGATTTTGTCTCATTTTTCTTAACTTCTCATACACATAACATCGTTAGCACTCGGGGTTGATGCTATCTCTCCTGAAAAAAGCTTCCCTCGCGTTGGCAACGATCTCATCACGGCCACGTCTTCTTCTTCGTGTCATTTTACTTTTTTTTCCCCATCTTTCAACCTTTTTTTGCTTCATTCTCTTCCTCCTCTTCAAACTTGCCCTTGGTGGTCATTTCTCAGCCGGCGGCGCGCGGGTGTGCGTTGTGTTGCGAAGGAGGGAAAACAAAAACAATTTTTTTTTCTTGCCGTTGGGTTTTTACGGTACCCGGCAGGTGGGGAAGGGGGAGGGACGGGGCATCGGATCGGAATCATTTCATGGCCACACAAAAAAAGCACGATGGGTGTTGTTGTTGCTGTTGGGTAGGCAAAGGTGTTTCTGAGAGTGGTGGGATGGAGAGAGAGGGGGGGGGGAGGGGGGAGAGTATGTTTATGAGCGTGTGTTGGTTTCTTCTGTATGTATTGTTCTGGACAGAAATGTGAGAGATGGGGAGAGAAAGACCGAATGTAGTGGAAGCGGCGAAGAGTAAACGAAACACGTCACTTGACGAAGAGATGGATTATGGTCATGATAGAATTTCAAGGTCTCTAGATCCCTTTTTATTTTTGGCTTGCCTCTATTGCTATTTGCATGATATGCCACGCTCCCTTTTTGTTTCTCCCATGCTTTTGCCGCTCTTGGTTGTCTAAGTACCCAGCTCAACCTCATGAGTCCCGACAAAAGATGGCCCACCAGTTATCCCTCTCATACCCGCTCTCAAGCACCCTGCCCCCAACCTCCACCACATCCTCCTCAAGCTCGCCCTCGCGGTAGAGGTGGTAATACCTCTGGAACGTCTCATCCTTGGCGGGTTCGGCGGCGGCGGCTTGCGCCTGTTCTTGCCCCTGCCCCTGCACTTTACCCTCGGGCTTCTCCTTCTTGCCCTTTGTGACCCACGACACGAGCTGGTCCTGCGCGGCGCCGGCGTCCCACCCGCGCCGGCTGTTGCCTTGTTCCAGGGCCCAGACCATGACGAGGGCCTTGCCGGTGCCGGGCCGGACGGCGGCGAGGAGGGCTGCGACGGCGGCGCGGCGGCGTTCGCGGGTGGACATGTGGTGGATTACGGCGATAGAGATTGCGAAATCGAAGGCGGAGGGGCGGTAGGGGAGGGCTAGGGAGTCTGCTACGAGGACCTGGTTCTTTGGTGCTGATGGTGCTGGTGTCACGGGCGCGGGGGGTTCCGAGACGGAGACTGAAGATGCGTCTGCGGCCTTCTTGTTGCTGCCGCTTCCGCCCTTATTCTTCTTCTTCTTGGGACCCGCAGCGTCATCAAAGTGCGGCGGCTGGTAGCTCCGCGCCAGCGAGACGAGGTTTGCGCTCCGGTCCGAGGCGACGATGAAGAGGGAGGGGTTGACGCCAATGTACTTGCCGTTGCCGCAGCCTGCGTCGAGGCCGACGGAGCCGGGCGGGAGGGAGAGCAGGAAGGAGGCGACGAGGGGCCAGGGCTTGTAGCGGGTTGAGGAGAAGTGCGGGGCGATGGCCTCGTAGACTGTGTGGACGTGGCGGGACTCGTAGGCTGCGGCTGTGTCGTTGTTTTCGTCTTCTGCTGGAGGCGGGGTCGTTGGCGTTGGGTCCTCGGTCTCTTGGGATGCGATGGTGGTGGTGGTGGTGATGGTTGAGGCGGAAGGAGGATCCGATGAACGGGGATCGGCGGGCACGGCCGGGTGGTCGGGGCCGGGTTGGGGGCCGGATGAGACGGTCATGGTTGATGTTGCCGGAAGGGGTGTGTGTGTGTGTGTGTGTGTGTGTGTGTGTGTGTGTGTGAATGCTTGTGTGCGCGTGTCTGTGTGTGGCGCAAGTTGGGGAGAGGCGCTGACTCTCGCAGTCTCACACCGTAGGACAGCTTATTTCCTTTCCTGGAGCTCTGGAAGGGACCCTTGCAACAACGGCTCTTTTCACCCCTTGCTTAGGTCCTTCTCTATATCCGTACGAAGCAAAGAGGGAAGGAGTTTCGGTCGATCAGGGGGTTGATTCTTGCGAGTGCGAGACGGGGGAAAGAGAGTGCAAGGGGGGAGAAGACTTCGGAAGAGGGAAGGGAGAAAAGTCGGTAACCGGGGCCCTGGTCTACGGTCCCGTTAAGGTTTTGGATGCCGAGTTAAAGATAGCGCCCGCTGAAGCGCGTTCGCGCCAAGACAATGGAACGCCCTTTTTTTAACGGATATTGTCTGTGTGTTCCCGTTGCGCTTGCGGCTTTTGTGATGTGCGGCGCGCGCGTATGTGTCTCTACCTAGTATTTTGCCGATGGGAAATTAGGTACGGATACACCAGCCACTGTAGGGGGAAAAAACTGGATGAAAGGATGATTTTGTCGGATGAGGCTCGTGCTCTGCAGATGATGAGGCGTCTACGGATACAGTGTCTGTATGTGCATGCGAAGGGTGTGGGTGCAAAAATACGTACAAGAGAGCAACGAAGGAACGTTGGGAATTGTGAGCCACCGACGGGAAGATGACGATTTGTGACAATGAGCGGGGGGAAAGAAATACTGTCTGAGCGCTTGCATTTGGTGTGTGGCGTTCGGTGTGTCCCCGCTAATTTTCTCGATTTGGTGAGCCGGTGTGCACCGGTTTTTTTTCTTGCTTCTTCTTTCTCACTTTCGTTGGTGTGTGGGGTGGGATTTAACGGCTTGAGAAACGTCTTTCGGGAAAGAAGGAGGCGGGGGGGGGGCCGCTCCGACTCGGTGTAAGCCGAGTCCGGTAGCTCCGGGCTGGGCGGGAGACACAAACCGGGCCCGTGTTGATCTGGCCGGTCGCCTCCACTCCATTGGGCCAGCTGAGCCCATGAGGCTTCCAGGGAATTTAAGGACCGCCTGGTCTTTACCGTAGGTACCGTATGCAGGCACCGTATGCAGGCACCGTATCCTCAATCTCCCCGATGGCCACTGCTGCGGCCGCGGCCGCCGACTGGGCCGCAGAGAGAAGGTTGGTGAAGACCTTTCATCGATCCCGCGAAGGCTGCAGGCTGCAATTGCATGAACGCTGTGAGAGCGAACAAGGACCGTCTGGCACAGATGCATGCGCAGATATCGGATATCCTGCAAATTTACACCATGCGGCGGCTTTCCGTCGAGGAAATTCAGTAAGGGATCGAGATGAAGCGATTGTGCGAGCACCTTGTGCCTTCATTCTCTCAAAGAACGTTACGGCCTATGGGTACCTGCAGGCTACGGCGCGGCACGGTATTAAGCGCTGGACTCGAACGGGGATTCGTCCCGGGATTGCTTGCACATTGGAAGGGGGCCCCCCTTGTCCCGGATCGGTCTACTCCGAGGCCTTCGCGGTTGGGAGGCTGATTGAACGCTCTCATGAACTATTTTCGAAACGAGCGGGGAAATGCCCCTGAAACCAGTTTTCTGTCGTTCGTTGATGATCTATGTTACATCCATAACGTGCGAGCCGATCATGTTCGATCCATGGTGTTTGCTCTCTATCCCGCCATGGGGGCGTAAGATACTGGTAGTGAGGGAGAAAGGGAAGGGGGTGGGGGGTGTACCAAGTTTCGAAGGAGCAAGGCCCCTCGGCAGAGGAGCAAAACAAATTGTCAAGGAGGCGTGCAAGGCTTAGGCGGGAAAAGACGAGACAAGAGAACCAGAGACCGTCACATTCCAGACCGGGGCTTCAAACGCATTTGGAATTCCCGAAGAATCGGTACAAACGGATGGAGATCATCCTTGAGTGATTTCTCGCGTGATTGACGTCAGGGATTCCGAGCCTTCCCCTCGGTTCGAATTGCCTGCTAAAAGGGGGAACATCGACAGTTGTTGCTCTTTTCATTTCCGATAATGTAACAGGATATCGTACTGGGCTCTGGGAAGAGGAGTCACAACTGAGAGAGAGATAGCAAGATGGGAGATACCACCAATGTTTGCCAGGCTGTATGCACGGCGGCTCTTTGCTTGCTTTGAGCCACCACATGTTATATTGAATACGGCCTTACGTGCGAGCATCTCCCAGGCTTGAGCCCATTGCCCCTTTTTCATAGGGTGAATGTTGGTGATGTCAGATTCAGGTGGTACCGCTCGGTGCTCCTGTTCCCTTGAGGATTTTAATCTCCGATCCGGCAGGGAAAGACATTCAAGGGTTCTGAGGGAACTGAGGGAACTCAGGGAAGGGAGGAGGGGGCGTTGCTGTAGCCTGCAGTCATTTTCACCATGTGGTTAACGTTTGTGCAAGTTTGCTTGACTTCGTACGGGTGTCCGTACGTCTCTTTACTTTCTCAGCGTGCCAGTCTGTGGTGTGGGCCTTGCGGAGATATTTCTGGCCTTCGGCTTTTTCTCCGTGGCCACGTGTGGGAATCAAAGATTGCGTGTGACAATAGGGATCATCACACTCGTGTCTGATAGACACGGCGATCGAGGGTGGAGGCCTAGGTAGGTACTCGGGTAGGTAACAATGTTTGCCAGTCCAAGACATGTTCAGTGCCGCGTGGGGTTTGACTTTTTAGTACCCGGTTCACGTTTTAAACAGGGAGGCAAAGAAGGAATGCGTGTGGCGGGGTGTGAGTAGAGCAGGGAAACAATCTGTTCCCAGGATTGCGCCACAGTTTTGTAGCTTCACAAATTGAGGTGAAGGACATTGACGTATGACGGTCGCGGACCGTAAAAAGGCTTGGTTTTTATTAGACTTCACACCTACGGCCCAGTCCCGCTCCGGGCCGATCTGGCGGTCCCGCGGTCCCGGGTCTCCCGAAAGCGGGGCCGGGCCTTAATTCAAGATTCAAGATTTCTTTATTATCTACCTGTACAAGCGGACTTACAACACCACATCTTCAACCGATGCAACTTCGTCTCAAGCGTTACCCAGGTTCAATGGGCTCTGGGCGTCGAACTTGTGGGTGGTGATGAGCTCGGGGTACTGGATGCCACCCTGCTTGATGACGCTGTCCATCGCCTCCATGATGACCAGAGATTCTGAAAGCGGCAGCGTTGCACTCTCTGTCTTACCGTCGCGCAGGCAACGCGCGCACTCATCAGCCTCCCAGAACATGCCGTGACCCCAGTCACGCGCCTCGTCCTTGGGGATGGGGCAGTCGACAACCTCGACCTCTTCGACGCCCTTCTTGACGACCTTGTACGACGTCGGCCGGAAGGCGGGGTGGGAGACCTGGATCTCGCCCTTGGAACCTTGAATACGGATCGCGGGTGCCGTCTCGCCCTTGTGGCCGTCGGGCGCCGTATCGACGCGCAGCGAGGTGGTGGCAATGCCGGTCATCTGGTGCTTGGGGAAGTTGAGAATCATGGTGGTGGACTCGTCGGCGCCGGTGACGGGGTACTTTTGCACCGAGGCCAGGACCTCGGGGCTCTCCTTGTCGGCCTCGGCTTCGGGCTGCAGGTGGTACAACGTCTGGAAGATCCAGGTCAGGGAGTAGATGCCGAGGTCGAGCAGGGCACCGCCAGCGAGCTCGGGGTTAACCATGCGGTGGGCGTCGGGGAAGGACAGCTTACCGGAAGCATCTTCGGCGTTGTTGTTGAAGGACAGGTCCGACGTGGCACGGTAGACCTTGCCGATGGCACCCAAGGAGATGAGCTCGCGGATCTTGATGCTAAGGGGGAAGTAGCGGGTCCAGACGGCCTCCATGAAGAAGAGCTTCTTGGCGCGGGCCGTCTCAACGAGGACGCGGGTCTGCTCAGCGGTGACAGTCAGGGCCTTCTCGCAGAGGACGTTCTTGCCGGCGTCGAGGGCAAGCATGGCGTTTTGGAAGTGGTGGGAGTGCGGGGTGGCGACGTAGATGATGTCGACGGCCGGGTCGCGGACGAGCTCGGCGTAGGAGCCGTAGACTGTTGTGTCGGCGGGGGCGTCAATCTTCTTGACAAAGGCGCGGGCCTTTTCGGCGTCGCGGGAAGAGGAGACGGCGGCGATACGGTGGGCGACGTCGGTCACCTCGCGCGAGGCCGGGTTGGTCAGGAGGTCCTTGCAGAAGGCTAGAGAGACGGCATTGTTAGTTACTGCTTGGGTGGGGGGGGTAGAGATGCTCGGTTCTAGCGGTGGAAGCATACTCTCGGCGATCCAGCCCGTGGCCATAATGCCCCAGTTGACAGTGTGCGGCGCCATTTTGGGAGGTGAATGTGATTGATTTTGGGTGTGTAGCGTGGCTTGAGGTTCTACTGCTGAGAGTTGACGGGATCTCGCGGAGGGAATTGAATACCTGGGTATATAAAGAAGATCGAGACTGAAGAGAGAGGAAGAGGAAGAGCAGGCAGGTTAACGAGGTGCGAATCGGCGAGGTTGCCTTTCCCTTTTCTATCCCGCGCAACCATCCCAACACGCGGAGCGGACCCTCCACCCCCAAATCCTCGGAGGTAGTTGCTGCGGGGTACGAGAATAGCAAAAAAAGGGCAGGGGCCCCATTGTCAAACATGAAAGCCACTCAAGCCTAATCCAACATGCGACGAATCGTCGATGTAAATCACAACCAAAGCGGCAACACCATACCATGACATGGGCATTTCTACAAAGGTTCTATGTCATCTACTACTCGGCTGCCTTTCCCGGGAGCACGCAGTGCAATACTGACAAACCAGCTTCGGAGTCAATTCGCTTAGCCAGCGGTCAGAACATCATAATATCAACAACCGCGGATTACAAACACATCTAGAAGCTCCAGTGTTTCAATGGTGACGGTGAATGACATGGATATCAGCAAAAGCCGCCAAATACGAGAGCGAATAATCAAAGACGCGATTTGGTTTCCGTCCTCCCGTCCCTCGCCCCCCCCCCCCCCCTTCTCCCGGGTAAATTGACTTCGGGATCTGGTGTGAGAATAGAATGGGTTCCTTTACGCCGATACTTCGCGATGACACATGGACTAGACTCGCAAAGAGCTATCCGGGGTCAAGTCAAGACCGGCATCCGTATTGGCGCAACGCAAACTACCTGACCCGACATTACGGCCCCACCAACTTTTCGACTCCTAGAGTTTCCTCTTTGGGCCAATTTGGAGATGGATGGAGCTGGGGGACTGTACTCAGGTCGTGGTGAGCGATGGATGGCGGGGTTGGTGTTGTTACCCCGCGGCGGAGCCCTCGTTTCCTTATCAGCGATAAGACGTCATAGATGAATGACACGTGAGGTAAGGTACCTCGAGGTCTGTTGATACAGCTGCAGCCTGCTGACAATGTGAAGCCATTCGGAATACACAGAGTATTCAGATCAGTACGCCTCAGGCCCTCTCTTCCTTTGGGCTATAAGCCAAATTACCTCGGAAATTCTCAACAGCAATAAAGGGAAAGTTGCCCAGAAGCTTGAGCCAGTACTAGTCTAAGCCTGTTCAGCAAATTTACCGGGCTGTAGTTTGTGGATTCGAATCCCGCAAGCGCCCTATCTCTTTTTCTTTTTTTGCTTGCCCTTTTCTTGGTTGATATCAATGATCCAATTGCTGGTCGATTCGTTATTGATATATATCATCACACAGAGGAACCATTGGGGTTTCTGTTTCAATTATGATGCATGCCGCTTGCCGCTTTGAGCCCTTTCTGATTGACGACCTCACACCACTTCACCTGCCTGTGCATACCATACATTCTGCGACAACCCCACGTCGCTACCATCTTCTCCGACCACATCACCATCCGTTCGGCATAGATGAACTTATCCTCCTCCTAACCATCATCTCCTTATACCTGAACCTCAAGCATCAATTTCACCCGTACATCACCATAAACAAAAACACACCATCCAAAAAATGCCACAGACAATCGCTCCAATCCCCCGCCTAATCTACGGCACAGCCTGGAAAAAATCCCAAACCGCACCCCTCGTCGCCTCCGCCCTCGCCGCCGGCTTCCGCGCCCTCGACACCGCCGCATCCCACCACTACTCGGAAGAAGGCGTCGGCGTCGGTCTCCGCAACTTTCTCTCCCAAGCCCCGAAACCAGCTGCCCACGGAATCACCCGCGCGGGCCTCTACATCCAGACCAAATTCTCCCCCTCGCCATCAGACCTGCCCATCCCAGAACAAGTCCACAAGTCCATCGCCTCATCCCTCAAGAACCTCGCCGTCGACAACAACCTCTTTGCGCCGTCACCATCAGCCTCTTCGGAGGAGCAGAAGAAGGAAAGTGGCGAAGAAGACTTCTACCTAGACTGCGTCCTCCTCCACGCCCCCTACCCCTCCTACACCGACACCCTCCTCGCCTGGCGCGCCCTAGAAACCCACGTCCCCTCCCGCATCCGCACCCTCGGCATCTCCAACGTCGACTTACCAGACCTTCAGCGCCTCTGCGACGAGGACGCCCGCGTGAAGCCCGTCGTCGTGCAGAACCGCTTGAACCCGGACGAAGGGTACAACACTGCCGTCCGCGTCTTCTGCCGCGAGAGGGGCATCAATTTCCAGTCATTTTGGACGCTGACGGCGAATCCGCGGCTGGTGAGGGGTCCGTTTGTCAGGCAGGTTGCCAAAGGGGCGGGTGTGAGCGATGAGGTTGCGTTTTATGGGTTGGTGCTGGGGTTGAGGGGGGTGAGTGTGCTGGATGGGACTACGAATGAGGTGAGGATGAAGGAGGACCTCGAGGGTGTCGAACGGTTGATGGCTTGGGCGGAGGGGGATGGTGTTGAGGTGTGGCGGGAGAGTTTGGCGGCGTTGAAGGCTGTGCTTGGTGATTCTTGAGGCACTCTTGAAGAGGGCAGACACGTGTGATGAAGTATAGCATCCTAAAAGGGACACGGCAGGTAAGTAAGTCTACTCGAGCGGAGAAAGTCTTGGACTCCGCGAGCTATTCATGAAACGCCCAAGAATGCAGTCTGTCCTGGGTATTTCCTCGATCCTCTGACATCCCTCTCTCGCCAAAGCCTCGAAATGGCTCTTGTGCAGAAACACCGTCTCTCTCTCTCTCTCTCTCTCTCTCTCTCTCTCTCTCTCTATGCCTCAACCTAGTCCAGGAAATCGTCCTGGCAGAAAAAAGACTCGCTGTGGTATCTTAAATCCCAATAAAGAAAAGCGCGAGCCGAAATGGTCATCGTGTTGTCGTCCTCTGCGGCCTCATCCTCGTATCCTATCAACCTCATCATTATGGAAAGAAACCTCTGCCCCCATGCAATGTCATTAGTCGTCCGTATTGTATTCTTGGTCATCCACCAAAACCACCACTGTCAAAGTTGCTGCGTATGCCTCGCGAATAGCACAAGCCATGCTTAGCAATGTTAGCAGAGGTTCGTCGGACGTTGAAAGGTAATTGGAAAACTCACCATGTCTTGCGGATATCAGCAATGACAGCACTCAGTCCCCAGTGTGAACACCATGCCCGTGCCAAGACCTCGTTGTCCCTCACGCCAAAAGCCTCCACCACTAACACCTGCTCCTCGTCGACTTGATCCTGGCTGCTTGCTGTGTGTGGGCCTGCTGTCGAGCTTGTCCTCGAACTACGAGCACTTGGAGACTGTCCATACAGCCCACCCCAGTCTTTGATGTTCATAATCTCGTCCGCCTTGACGGTCTGAAAGACGTAGTCGAAGAACAGCGGATGAGGGCCGCCCGAACACGGCCAAGCCGAGATAAAAGACACATCGTACGTGAGACGCATGGGCCAGGACACCCCATCCACCGCGAATTGCACCGTTGCGTCAAAAACCCTCGGTGCTGGCGGAGGTTCCTGGAAACGGTCCGGGACAGCCTTGAAGCTGAGCAGCTCGATTCGGACAGTATCAACGATGTCGTCGGCGTCGGGAGCTACAAGCTTGTATTCTTTGACCGGAAATACCTCGGCCGGGGGACCTAGAGGGTCAGATCGTTCGCTCATCGATTGTACGTCTTCGGGAGTCATGCGCTGTCGAGGGCGCCGGGAGCGCACGCGGGCGATTTGAGATCGGCCAAGATCGGCGGTCGGACGGGCTGGCCCGACCCAGCCTGCCAACGATCGACAGGTCGGGGCTAGGACTTTTCCGACGATCGAAGCAGCAGTCCAGTAGGTGTAACTATTCCTATATTGAAATCCACAGTGAGGATGGAGGTGCGTCATCATGGCTAAGGAGTCGGTTGCCTTGTCGGGATCCATGTCGATGAGGGTGTTCATGATGAGGAATGGAAACGTTGTCTTTGCCTGTTAGCAGGTGTGCAAGGAACATGTCAGTAGTGCGACAGAACTTACGCCTGGCAGTACAAGACCGCTGAAGAATGCCAATGCGTCGGAGCTGATAATGTCCAGAGTTGCGTCCATGTCCCTCTGCTTCATTTTGTCGAGAGTATGGCCCAAGTTTGGCCATTTCATCATTTGTGCAAAGCGCCGTAGCATCTTGATTTGGCGCTTCTTCAGCCTGAAGCGTAGGTTGACTATTGCAAGTTAGCTCTGGCTAAGGAGACCGGACATGAACGGTAGCTTACTGTCTTCCACTGACTTTCCATACCCCTCAACCCTCACATGTTCCCGCCAGCGTCTGGCAAGCGCAAGGTCCCACTGGATAGTGGGCGGTAGTTGAGGCAGTAGCTTCTCCTTGGCCCACTCCCCGTGCAGTCTCGAATTGATCCGCAGATCTAGTTCCATGCTGAGAACGAGTTGGTGGCAAAACTTGATATACTGCTGTTGGCTTCCGTGGCTCGGGTCGAAGATGAAGCGAGTGACGACTTGGTTCTTTGGGTTCGTAAAGTCGATCCAGTCCGGACGTGACAACACCATGATCAGATCCGTAATCTGCTTATCGAGTCCTTTGTGCGGGCTCATCATCTTGTCGGGGTCGCGGAGGAAGCGGCGATATAAGCTTTTGTACATCCATTCCTCGTCGTCGTCTTCCAATCCCGCCTCCAGCTCCTTCAGACGCTCAAAGATACGATCCAGGCCGACCTCTCGTGCCGTCACGCCCGAGTCTCTCAAGCCGATTGTCGGAGGCTTGATGCTGGCCAGACAAGCCCATTGGTTCAAGGTGATGGTGCCGGGCTGTTGACCGTAAAAGAAGGCGAAGCTCGGCTGTTCCAAGGACTCCCATGGATATATCGCTGAACCTCCACCCTGCATCCGGAGGGTCATCAGTTGGGTCATGTGGTCGTGCAAATTTACGATATCCGTCTCTTCGGCATCGTTTCCTGCGGATGTTGTGTAGAGGGCGTAGTAATGATCGGATGCATGAGGTACGGGACGCTTGTGGCCCTTGTGGGCGGGGGCGCCGCGGGAGACGAGTTCCATGGCATGGCCGAGGGTGAGCTCCTCTTGACTGGACATGCCGGAGGGCGGCCATTCTGTTAGTGGTCCCTGCTCGAGGATGATGCCGTTGGGATGCGCGCGACCCTTTCCTTTGGCTCTTGCGGGATCAGGCCTTCTAGGTCGTCTGCGCGAACGAGGGTGATCTGGGTGGACATTTGGGTGGCCGTTGGGGGACTCGACTGTTCTTGAGGCCTTGGGCATGTCTGGTAATGACTTGCGTCTCCGCGGGACGACATCTCCATCGCTCGCCCTACGAGATTCGGGATTTTCCTGCAATTTTGGTCAGTCCAAAAAGTCCCAAGATGAAGTGCGCGTGTCTGCCACAGCGCAATGTTTGGGTCGTCGAACCAGTCTCCCTTTCTTTGCCAGGCTCCTGTTGCGGAAAATGCTACCCCAGAAGCTCTTCTTCTCACTGCGGCCCTCTCGGTCTCTCTCCTCTTTAACGTCGGCCATGTCTCATTAACGAATTATGTGTGAGCGACCTCGAGGCCGTGTCATGCACTCGAGTGAGTAATTGAAAAGTGATAAACAAACAATGTTTGTTAGGTTGATCGAGGCCCGGGCGGGAATGGGCGCAAGTGAACTCGTCAGTCTGCGTGGCTGCGCACCATGCGCGTCACGAGGAATGCGCCTGTCGCAGACAGCTTGAAGTGCTCAGCATCGGCTTAGAACCATGCAGGCGGAAAGATGTTGGTGGATATGGATAGACTTCTTCGCGATTAGAGCAGCAATTGAAGCATCCTTTCTCGGAAGCGCAGCGATCCAGGGCGATTTATCAAGATCGGTATCCGTGGGAACAGGACGTCTTCGTCGGAGGTTTAGCCCAAGGTCTGTGTGGTGAATGTCTGTGAGGCGATCCGAAAGAGATCAGCGAAGCATCTCAAGTCGAGGTGCCGCAATAAGTCGAGGTGGGCGCAGCGCTATGCAAAGCTGGAAGATAGCCGTTGTGCCCCGTAAGGTAGCGGTTGCCGCTCACGGTCGTCTTCGCAGCGGTCCGCCCGCAAACCACAAAATTATCGGGCAAGTCAAAGTTGGGAGCAAAAAGATGGTGGTTGTCCAGTCGTGTCGCTCACTGCAGGTCGAGGTGGTGGTTCACGTGTCGCAGAAGCATGAGATGACGGAGTGAGTCCGGGCGGCGGCGGGTCTCTTTGGGGTTTTGGGTCTCTGGGTTTCGGGGGGGGGGAGTGAGGGAGAGAGTGAATGAGTGGTGGTGGGTGAGTGTGAGTGAGTGTGGTAAAGTGGTGAGCTGAGTGTTGTGTGAGAATGAGCGAGCGGGCACCCGGGGACGGGAGGAAAGCAAAGTGAGTGGACGGGGCATTGACTGATGCAACGGAGCGGCGATGGACACCAGGACACGACAGCTGCGGCGTTTCTAGATCCAATGCCATTGAATTTTTCTTTCTTTTCTTTTCCAACGCAGGGCTGCAGCTTCTCCAGTTGCTGCGGACATGTCTCGCTAGTTTTCATCTCCTGCAGGTCGCTGGTTCCTTGCTTCACATTTCTCCTCCGTGATGTGATCTACTCAAGGTAATTACCTACCTACCTGCCTTAGTATACATCCTCTCGCCTTAAGAGAAGGTACCGCGGTGGGGGAGATGTCCGTCACTGGCCGGATGGTCGCGGGTCTGTAAGCCCGGTCAGGAAAGGTCAAGTCAGGGTACTACCTACCTACCTACCTACCTTACCTTCTTCCCACTTTGAACTCACTAATACGACGTGTACGGGTAGGAAGGACGGATGCTCATATAAGTGACATTTTACTAAAATGGCATAACTAAGATCAAGGCAGGCAAGTGTCACGGATGCCTTACCTAGCTTCAATATAGACGCGGGAGCAGAAGAACGCCAACGGTGCACATGCTGCTTGCTGCTTTGCTGGGTTCTTAGTGAGCCATGCCAGTCAGTTAATCCTGCCTTATTACTTTTAGAACCAAGATCAGGTGGCTGTGGGAAAAGTCAACCGCGCAGCCGCAAACGAGGTTCGTCGTGATAGGCCAAGCCGCCGCAGATGCCCGACAATACAACAGCGAATGGGCCTGCACGTTTGACGTCGAGGAAGGGAAAACCCAGTCTCCCTTGCCGGCATGCAAGAAATCCAAACCTGCCACGTCGTATGTCATCCCGCTCTCTCCACGCAATCTGACTCGCCTAGCACCAACTCCAGGGCCATGCGTCTGCCCGAACTTCTGCGTCCCTCGTTTGCCTCGTTTTGGGGGGTGGGGGGGTTGCGCCGTGTGCTTGTTCCCAAATTCCCAACAACCGCTTCTTACTAGTAGTTAGTGTACACAACATTCATCGAACAAACTGGACGCCCTATCCGGATCCCGAATCGAAGGAACCCCAATTCTAGCTTTGTCCAACTATTACCGCCAACAACAAACCACTTGTTCACCTCCACCGCCGGCACTAGAGCCCATGAACCCATCTTTTACCGCCCTCGTCCATGCACGTCAACGACCGCTTTTACCATCCGATGCCGTAACAAGAGTTCGACGCCCGTTGGTCCACTCCTCGATCGAGATCGTGACCCTCGAGATGCTTGTTGCCCAGCCGCCCAATCAAACTGTTACCTCTGTGTCCGGAACTGGTTCCTGTCTCGAACGACCCAGGCCTTTTTCCAGCAGAACCGTTCTTAGGGCCCGCTGTCTTCGTCTCGTAAGCGAAACATTTGCCCAGAGTCAACTCTTCTTCAAAGGCCTTTACTTTATGTCGTGATACCCGGCTCCGAACCAGACTCCAGCAGACTCGGATGGCCGCCCACCGGACCTCGACGCTGCCGCCTCCAGAAACCAATGTCCGACACTTCCGGCATCCACCCCGTTCGCCTTGTCACGGCCGCCCTGCGCCCTCTGCCGCAGCATAGCAAAGAAAACTCTGATTTACGTCATCGACTGGTCGCCATCTACTGCCCACAGCTTCTCCAACATCAACGTGGCGGCTGCTATTCGCTCTATAAATCTGACGTGGTCTAGCGAACCGACAATGTTACTCCCCGCCGTTCTCATCGGTGGACCAGTGGTCTGACATATTCCTCAATCTAAAGGATCTTCCTGGTGTAACTCTGGATCTCGCGTTTCGACCTGTCGCCCAAGTGGTGTGACAGCCGGGTCCGGGGTCTCTGGTACTCTGGAAGCCGTCTTTCTGATTCCATATTAAAGGCCTTGTATAGACCTCCAAATACTTGTCCACATGATCTTCGCTGTATCTCGACACTCTCTCCCGCCGCGGCATATCTTGCTCAACCCTCTCATGTCCCCGATATAGTAAGTCCTCGGCACTCCGACCTCCGGCAAAGTAGCTCCGGCCAAATGGTGGAGAAATCAGTCTGATAAGCAGTCTTTGCCTGCATCTCATGGCTCACATTCAAGTCCAGCACTCCAATGGACTACAAAGATAGCCGCGGAGACACGGAAAACTCCCCCCCCCCCCGAAACACGCTGCTGGACAGAGATCAGTCCAACCTTCTTGGCGCACTGAACCACGAGCCAGAGGTTTATCTACAGAGTTTAACCTAAGCACTAGGCAGACTATTGCCGGCGATGCCATTTCCCTTTCCGCATGCCGTAAGCTCTCCCGGAGTCTGTTCCGCTCCGAACCCACCTTGTGACCACCTGCTATCACGTTCAAGCACTGGGCCATAGCATATCACAGCTTTCAATATCGACTACACGCGACCGGAGAATACCATGACTGGAAGCGACAGCTAGGAGAAATGAAGGATCCCGCCTAAACTTCTGGAGGCGTGACTTGTGTTGTATGGACCAGTGTACAGGGGCTAATATTCCGGCTGGATCAGTACTGTAATTACGCTCGCGCCATTCTCGTGTTCTTATTCATCGGTTTGCCTTTGATATTTTCAGCCGAACCGTATTGACTGACCAAATGGCGTCCAGCGAAGTAGACGGAGAAATGGCGCTCGGGTGATGCTTTTGCGGCAGCGGCAGCGTTTTCTCCATAGTTCGTCGCCCGGGAAATTTTTTGCAGTAAGTGACAGCTGGCCCGTTTATTCATCTATCAGGTGACGACGAGTCTACAAGTCGATGCGAAGAGCACGAGCGGCTCTCTCTAATGTTGTTACTACTGATTCTGCCTGTCTACTCGTTAACTTCCATTATCTAGTCTTAGACTACAAGGGGGTATTCATGCTCTGTAGTATCGTTCTTATATCAGATAAAGTATTCTTTCTCGACAGACGGCTGGTCCCGTTAGCGTTGATAGTCTGGCTTGATAGTATGCATAACACGCCTCTGGACCAGAGAGCAAAAAACAAAAGAGTTCACCCCTCCCCGGGGGCTACATCTCTGGGTGCACATGCTGGGACTCGAACACGGGACCTCTGAGCATTCACCGATTAGGCTGTTCGTGGACTTGAACCACTCCACCACCCAGCCAGTTTAGACCTGACCCCCAAAGGGGCGCCTGCTGGCTGGTGACGGGAATGGAGTTGAGGGGGTATAAGAAGGCATCTCACGGCACAGGTATGGGAGGTATGGGAAGGAGCGGGTGTCAGCTGATCACCTCTGGCAAATCAAGCAGGAAGGCGTAGACCTGGAAGGTGCGGGTTAGAGGCACGCTAGGCCACATAGGTACGTCGTCGCTCTTGCCTCGAATATACACGTCTTCCAATCTTTGTAATTCCGGGATAAGGTAAACTTCCTGACGACCGTGAGGGAGCCGGGTCTATGATTCACTTGTCCAGATTGTGATTCCGAGTCCTCTTCATCTCTACTCACAAGACCGTCTACTTCTGCATGGTGGGTTGGGGAATTTACAGTGACTCTCTAAGAGCTGTCTGCCGCAATCTTTGAAGGAGAAGACGATGGCCACCTGGAGCTCAACCCGATGAATAAGTTGGGAGTAAAAGCTTGGATATGGTATACTGAAATGTAGATGAAAAGACTAGCCTTGCATACTTGCTTTCGTGAATTGGCCACCCCCAGAACTGAAGTCGATCCTCTATCTGTCTTTTAACTATCATATCATCGCCTCCCAGGTATGTTCATTGTTGAGTAACGAAAAAAACGTTAGCGGCAATCATTTGCCATACTTGTCCAACCACCAAGCCCACTACTTGAATCGATCTCCATCTCTCGACTCTGTTATTTGCACGGGTACATACACCGGTAGTCACTGAGCCTGCCATCTGCTTGACAGTCTCATGTTATTGTCATCGATGGCCCTCCACTCCTGGTAGAATGGAAACCATAAGGCAAGACTGTCGAAATGTGAAGCGTTGAAAGGTAAAATACTATGTGAAGATGTCGAGGGGGTCAGGTCCACGGGTATGCCAAAGTCGATGCCATCTCCGAGCTTCGTGTAGGAAATGTCTCCTTGAATTTTTCCAAGGATAACACATTCCCTTCGTACCACCGCCGGATGAATCATCCAGAGCGGAAGGGACCTCCTTAGACAGAACCGCATACCGCCCAGGTGCGATCAAGTGAGTGCCTTCCATTCCAACGCCGCCAGCCCCCGTTAGGCAGGCGTACCTTCCCACCTCTACGCCCCTCCTTCCTGCCCTCCTTCATCTAAACAACCTGCCAGGCTACCACCCTACTACTCAAGGCGCCTATTCACCGTTTCTGTCACCAGCACCCCCGGTCGATATGGCCGAGTGGTTTCGACTCTGACGCAGAGTCGACATTAAAACAAATACTCCAATGAGGCCAGTGCTGGTCCGAGGGGCGCGCTGTTCGAATCCGGACAGGGGCGTGAATTATAAGGTCAGTATTCCCCCCTCCATCCATTTCAAATTTATTTTTTTCTAGTTTTAGTTTTTTTTTTGGTGTTCTGATGGTGAGAATTGTTCGGAAGAGTGACATTTTGGATAAGAGTCGCCTCCTTCAAACTCCGGTACTACCTGATATTATGAGCTATTTGATAGCATCGCCATCCATACCAATCCTTGCTACTTAGATTCTCAGCCTAGAGTTGAACCATTGATTATTGATGTGGAAGTCTTCTTTAGATATAGCCTTGATCCATACTACTAAGGAAGCTACGACGCCCTTTTCCTAGGTTGCGGGACCCAGGCTGCATTACTGCTAATTCCATAGACTCAATGTGAAGTCTCTTATCCGCGGTGGTCTGACGAGAGTTTTGAAGAGTCCAAGTTCGCCAAGTTCGTTCCGTAATAACCTCAAGTGCTCGCTAGCAATTGATTCCTTTCATAGAAGACCACCTCAGTACATATCATGCTGTCACCTGAGCTCCAAGGAGCCAATAGACCAATACCAGCATTTGATTAGTACTGTGGCTCCGACCAACCCAGTCTGGATGTGACTCGCTGTCTAGAACATTGTCTATCTTAGAAGCTGACGCAATTGCTTCGAAATCCGTCAGATGATAAATTACGCGTAGAGAGATGGTATCTGATTTACCTGTAGTTTGGCTGTCAATTGACGACTTGTGGCAGGCTTTGCGCTCAGGAGACTCATGAGGTCCCGCTTCCCATTTTGGATATCCAAGACATACTATAACCACGTCTGTCAGTACCTTTCCACAATAGAATTCAACATCACAAACCTGTTCAATGGAGTCACTGATCACAAATCGAACAGTTGTGACCTCTTGAGTTTACCCTATTCTGTGGATCCTCGCCAGGGCCTGCTCCTCGATAGAGGGGTTCCATTATGGCTCAAGTAAATATGCTCTCGAAGCAGCAGTGAGCGTCAACCTAGTTAGAGGATAGTAGAGTTAGACATTACTTGATGTTGGCACGGCTCAACGCTAGCGAATGGGCTTGACGTACCCAACTACGCCGTAACCCAATGATAACAAAAGTACGGACGGCCCATGGGCCTTTAAGAAGTCGTTAATAATACGACTTCTCTTACTTAAGTTTTTTTTGCCGTCAATCTTGGCGTAGTAGATTCCGGCGTCGTTAAGAGCTAGTTCAGCAACATTAAGAATAGATGTTCGGTATAAAAACACGATATTAGATTCGTTAACTACGTTATCCAGGTTAGAGGAGAACTTAATACAGCCTTTTTATTCCTAGAACGCAGCCTTTTATATCGTTAATAAGAGCTCTGATCTTAGTCGGCTATTAATCTATAGGTATGGCTCTATAGAGCATGCCGCTTAGTTCTTGAGTCCAGTTAGACCCAAGCCTGGTTAGAGGCGGACAGAAGTTATCGATTTCTTCGGCAATAGCGCCATATCGAATATCATCGTCCTCCTCTATTTATCCTCCAGGTATAAGTAGAGTCGACTATCGATCTGGTGTTCTTAGCAGGAGTCCCGTGGAAGACGTAGGCTTCCCAGGGGTCTGTTGAAGGTTCAGCTTCTGAAAGCATCCCAGTTCGCAGACAAGCCTCAGAGCATTGATCTTCTCTAATGCGTTACTATAGCTATCTTTTCCTCCAGAAGATGCTAGCGCATTGTCGAGAAACTCAACAGTTTTGATTTTGACAGCATCGTACATACGTTGCTCCTGGGGGCTGAGATGAAGGTGCCGCCGGTGATCTCGTCGTTCTAGTAAGGTTACCGCGTCTTACAAACGTCTCAACATAACATAGCTGAGAACTTTCCTCAACGCTTCTGGTCCAATCTCTTCCCCACGAAGCCAGGGGTTCGTTATATCTCTGTCGAAGGCTTTCTTGTCATCATATGGATACACTCCAAGGAAGTGAAGTAAGCTGTGGAGCTCGGAAAGCCGATTCTGGATTGGTATTGGTGTTCCGGTGACCACCCACTTGCAGTCACCTCTCAGCTCACACACGGCTTGGGCTTTTGCTGTTTTGAGGTCCTTGATCTCATGTGCTATGATTAAAAGTCAGCTCGCAGGATTAACATGACAATCGAGGACAAATACCTTCGTCCAAAATGATTCGATGCCACTCATGTGAGAAAATTAGGCTTGCGTTGGCTGTTACATGAGCTTTCCACTCCTTCGCAAGTGTCGTATAGGTCGTGAGGATGATGTCACTCGTGCTCAAGTGATACATATCTTGCAGTCGGTTTTGTGCATGATGACGACGCCAGTTGAAGTAATCCCCAGAAAGGTGTCTAGAAAAGTTTATTATATTATCACATCTACCAGACGTAAGGTCTATAGGGCCACGTACTTGCACAATTCCATTCCCCAGTTGTCGAGAACTAAAACACAAGATCGTTAGTTATACTCAGGCAAGATTCCACACATTCAAAGACATACGTGAGAGAGGCACTACAACAAGTGTCCCACCGGAACCTAACGAGTTCGTATCTTATCTCATCAATTGCGGTCCACTCTCACGAAGCTTATCATGGGCAATAAGTAATATCATACTAAGGGTCTTGCCTAGACCCATAAGATCGGCAAGAATCCCGCCTCGAAAAGGAGTAGGGGGTGTGCAGCGAAACGACGAGTTGACGTTGTTGATGTATCTGAACAGTCAGCTCAGTATCAATCAATGATAGATAGCAGCCTTACGTTGTTCGACCAATCTCGTCGACATGCTGGGACCACACATCTCCGTTAGGCTCATGTAGTCGCCAGCCACTTTCCCGTTCAACCATAAACGTCAAGCCTTGCTTCTGGTGACTTATTCAGTTGAGTTGAGCATTGCTCCATGTCATAGCTAGGAAGTAGTTATTCTCACCTTTGCAGCTCTGTCTAAAAGTAATATGAACCGCTCGTCTCATGCCGCTCAGTTGTTGAAGTGACGCTCTTCAGCATATTTATGGCTCTCAGTGTCTCTTCTTTCTCAGCTAAGACTTCGTCCTCGTCTGAACTAACACTTCGGAAGTCGACAGTTCGACTTCCCTCCGTATTAGTGAAGCGTTACGGATTGAAGTATTCGACGTCTATGAGAGAGAAAATTGGATCTTGTAAGTAAAGCTCTGCTATTTGAAGCGTACTCCCGACACCTTGGGCTATCTTCCGTGGTCCGTATATCGTTATCTAGAGTTATATGCTATCATTACCGGTAACCTCTTACTCAGCCGGTAGCCCGAGAACGCCGATGCTGACGCCTTTATGGTAAAACAACTCAAGTAACTCACGACCGCGGGGGTCTAAAGCTACGCGAGATTATAGGTGCATTAAAGAAACCAGTTACTATTCATTATCTAGAATCAATTGAACATTTGCTGCTAGGGCCTGTACAATGTCGGTCATCCATTGCGCGCTCATTAACGTGAGCTTCCTTGATTAGTCTTGGAGAATCTAGAATCCCAATAAGCCTTTTCAGACATACCATTCTATAGCAGATAATTCGGTGATCAAAATTGGGCACCTGAGGATCTTCAAATTCGCCAACAATCCTTTGAGGAACAACCTGGCGATGTGCCTGAGCAGTACTATCGACGGTAAGCACTGATGGCTTCTTCCTGGCCATTTGACCCTCATCCCCCGGGGCGAAATATTCGTATGCAACAGGAATTGACCCGGATGCGACCAGGTGTCCGTCTGCCCGCCGCCGCTTTACGCTATGATGAGCATCTGACGCCATTACGGAGGTTTGGATAGCAGATGGTATGATGCAACTGTCATCCAGACTTTCCGATAGCAGCAGCCTGATACAATGTGCCTCGAAGCGTTAGATTGGCAAATTGTAGGCAGCATCAAGCTGAATCATTCTTATAGAATACCAAGCCCACGCCTCACCGCCTTGCATCACACAGAGGGGAAGCACCAGCTTCGTGAAACAATACGCAGGGTAGTGCATGTAGCACTGGTGCACATTGGATGGGCTGACTTCATTCGTACACTTGGCCGTGCCAATCTCGACAAGGCTCTCTTCATGGTTGTCGTCGATGGATCGGTGCCACGGTGCCTAGTCTATGCTAATGTTTGTGGTTATATTTCGTCATTCCAACGCAGGCGAACCGGAGCTATGCGAGGCATTCATAATTACATTCTTAGGTATCCTTCAGCGACATATTAAGTATTCGAGAGTACCCGGTCTCAAGCACAGCGGCATACTGGACCTTAAGACGTATATCATTTAGACAACCTAACATAGCTCTTTTGCAGCTTCAAAGAGCATGTGAGCGGTTCCGGTCACACTTGTCGGACAAAGAGACGTGGAAATTGGAAAACGTCAAGAGTATCAAAGATATCCGCCTGGCTATCAGTCAAATAGAGCGCTATCTCGCCTCCCGTTAAAAGTTAGGGAACTTCGAACGGCTCGTACCTTTTCTCGATACAGCTGATCGCTTGATGAAGCCCATCGACGTTCTCTCTAATAGCGTTCCGTTCCTACCTTACATTTGGGTGAGTTCCTCTACTAAGAAAACTATAAAGGTGGACGTTTTAATCATTAATATCACCCATTTAGGCCCCTCTGAAGCTCATTCTTCAAGTAAGTTGATTCGAATGTGCCAATTGATCAGGGACATGCGATACTGACCACGACAATATACTTAGATATCCCAAGACCACACTCATGCTTTGGATCAGATTCTCTCTGCTTATAGCCGCATCGGAGCCTCGCTTCCGCATTTCTCTCGATACGGTGATATATTCCCCGACAGCCACGACTTCCAGCAACTATTAGGCCACATTTACGAGGACATCATTAACTTCCACTGCCATGCTTATCGGCTAGATCAGAAGCCAGGTAAGGTGCCCTGAATAAAACTGATACTTTCGCAAAAATAAGCTGAATGATTCGTCAGGATGGGTAATGCTCTTCTCAATCTGTTGGGGCCGATTCCAGCATCGGTACGACTCGTTACTTAACAGCATTACTAAAACCAGCGACCTCATAGATAGGGAGGCAGTATCCTATAAAATAATTCAAGCTAAAGAATGGCGGCAAAAGCTTCTGGAGGAGGCTCAGGATCGAGAAAAGAAAGAAGAGACCGACCAGTGCGAAGCTATCAACAAGTGGCTTCAAGTGAGCAACAGAAACGAGGAAAAGCTTGCCCGGCTTCACAACCGTTGTCTTGATGGAACATCTCAATGGGTGACTAGTTCACCCCAAGTTAGATCGTGGCTCCAAAAGAGCAGAGGAAAGCCAGGTCCTGGTAAGCTGCATCAATTTAACTCGGAGAAAATCTACTGATCTTCAAAGGCAAATCTATCCTATGTTCGCAGCTCATCTACTTTCTCAGATCGAACCCTAAGTGGAAATGCTTGTTTTTCTTCTGTGGTTTCCATACTATAGGCTACGGGGTCACCGTACAGGTCTTACGGAGCATATATGCCCAAATTCTGGACCTTGTTCCGGAGACGGCCTCGTTCATGTATAAAGAGTGTGTCGTTCCTGGGAAAAAGCCTTTAACATTATTCCTAAAAGAATTGATCCCGAAGCTTTTCAGCTTCTTTGAAGATATGCGCCTGGTCATCGATGGTATTGATGAGATTGTGTCATCGGAACATGGAGAACTGATTAGGACCCTGACCAAGTTGGCAGAGACGCAGGATAACTTCAGGTTGCTCGTACCTAGTCAGGATATTCCGAGTATAGCAATTGTTGGATCTCTGAGCAGTCGGCAGAAAAGATGGATCTGGAAGGCGGTATGGGCACTTACAAACGGCCCTTTCACTTATATACCACTTCTGGGAGATCGTGGGCAGAGCCCACAATCTCCTCCAGACGCAGCAATAATAGACCATTATTGACACTTCGTTCCAACCGTACGGTTGCCCTGCTGACGTGTATACCAACAGCAATGAACTTGAAGGGAAGGCCAACACTGATAATCGGAAAGCAATACTCATCTATTTGCAAGGATATTGGCTTGCTTGTCTCAAGCCGCTTAGAAGCCATTACTCTGAACAGTAAAAGTAATTGGAAGAACTGACGTGAACATAGGGATGTTTCTTTGGGTTCACCTAGTATTATAGGTGTTGGAGACTACTGACATCTAAGAGCTTAGAACGAGTGTCGAGGCCTTTCCGAAAGACCTTAAAGAGGCGTAATATCTATAATCTCCCCGATCCTTTATATCGTGGCTAATTATACCTAGATACTACAAGATTATTACGAACATCATGAGCCGTTCTTAGGCAGCAGACGTGTCGAAGTTACGACGAATATTTGGCTAGATAGTGTTTTCAAAGGGTGGTCAGCCTATGAGGAAATTTGAATTACGACTAGGTCAAATACTCTATGCCGATTCGATAATAATCAACGATAAAACAAAACCGTTTCCGAACATGTTGGATCTTTGTAAACCATTTATAGAGGATAGTCCAGGTATAACCATGGTGTTTATCTACGCTATAGTACCTAAGTTAGTGCCCTAAGTACTCTACTTCTATATCCGTAGGTCGGTTGACGTCTGATGTTAGATTTCTCCGAGCCTAATCTAGTGGGCCGTTCATCTTATAATAAGAAAGATTCTTGCCGAGATATCATAACTGCTTGTATCGCATAGTTGACACAGAGCTTGACCTTGGCCTTGGCCGACGAAACTCTGAAATGCTTGCAGCATCTTTCCAGTGTTGCACAGGGTTTCTACGGGCTTCTTCCCTATGCACATGAATACTGGATTGAGCACATTCTAGAGTACCTTGAGCTTAGTCAAGGATTTTGCACCCCCGATTCCTCGAGCATCCAAGGACAACTCATTGAGCTTTCCCATTATTTCGATCTTGTGGAAGAAGAGCCCATGGGAATCTCCAATGCAGAAAGTCCCGACCCTCGTTTTCACTGGCTTGAAAGCCTCCCCTCAACGAAAGCACTAGTTCAGGAAGCCCTCAAACTCCGCAGAGCAACAAAGAAGTCGGTTGGTACGTTGATGCGTTGAATTTTCTATCTATTGATACGTGACACGACGCAGATGGGCTGACTCTTGATTGTTGTTGCGCAGAGAGTATGACCTCTCCTGGAGCTGTAGCATCACTATCATCCGTCAGAACAAGGTATCACAACTACGTTGTGGACCTCTTAAGAGAGAACACTTGTCCAGGGCCTTTGGCTGAGGAATTCATCGCATTCAAAGAAGAATATGGGCCGTCCGCATTTGTGTATCCCATCTACGGATACAATAAAGCTATAATTAGGTATTTTTCAGCCTCGCAACTCACGAATCACTCAGTGAAACATCAAGAGAGACTACGGTGCTTTAAACAAGACTGCTTCTACAACGATGTCGGGTTTCTCTCTCCAAGGCACCTCAGAAAACACCAGAAAAGATATCATCCCCCACCCCCACCACCGCCAATTCCTCGGCAGATTACTCAGAAACTGGATCAGGTGAGCCGAACGTCTGCGACACCGTCAACAAGTCCCGATCGAATCAACAAGAATTGTAGAATTTTGAAAGAAATCAAGCTCCCAAACTAACCACAGTTTTCCAAGAGAGCCCGCCAGAACCGTCGAACTACAATGGTCTATAAACGTCCGCGCCTTCCCCAGCGCCCGCTGCAGACCATAATCTCACTCAGCTAACTGAGCAACAACAACAAATGTTGGCAAGGATTAGAAACCGGAATACTCCCGTCGCACCTGCGCACCAGGTAATGATGGACAGTATGGAGCTTTCGCCGCCAGCTCTTCATCAAGTTGGAAACCAATTACGTGCCCCACCCGAGATTCGGAAGTGGAAGGACCTTCGGCAGTGGCTTGCGCAGAATCCCGTTGGGCCCCAGTTGCAGCAGTACCTTGCAGTGATGCAGAGGTCGCAATTCGCGAGATATATGCAAAGGAAAATGGAGAAGCGTAATCAGGAAGATCAACGGAAACGGCAACTTGAGCAGCAGCAGCCGCAGTTGCAGCACAGTGGCATGCCGGCGAATATGAGAACGCCAAACCAGTCAGGCATGTCTTCTCAAAGTCATGTGAATATGGGTCCGGGGGCATAAGTTGTCCCAATGCCCACGCCACAAGCACAACATATTCCTCAGCTGGCTCCTCCGCCAGCAAACCGTCGCCATTACGCCTGTCTAACCCGCATAGTCAATCCCGCTGAAGTAGCAGGAGCAGTAGCGTTAGGTATCTGGCGAAGATAGGGTTGTTGGCGTGGGGTCAGGGCTAGATGGAGGCGGCATTCGGGGCGGAATAGGGGTGGAGGGGCATGTTGGGACAAGTAGAGGACGGTGGGAGTAGGCAAAGAAGCCTCGGGGGCATTGAGGTCTGAGGAGTAAGAACGCTGTAGAGGCCTTAGAGTCAAGTCTGTTCGGCAGTTCAAATATTTCAATCTCGAGGTTATAGATCTGGACGTTTGTGAGCTGTGGTTTTACTAGAAACCCCCGGATCATGTGTGAAATCGTACTTTCGGATAGGCAGTATTCTGTTTTCAACATCCTCCTGCAGTTTGAACATCCTCCTGTATTCCACCCTTGCTCTCCGTTCTGAGGGTATTCCATCCATCGGAATAATCACCCACAGCCAAGTAAGGTAGAAGAAGGTAGTGGGTGCTTCCTTTGCTGCCCTTGCAGGTAAGGCGTAAATGTACGATTGACCAGGTCCCGCGCTAGACCCCCCCCAATCGCCTGCGTGTCGTTCCAACTCGAACTCAACCTACGTTGGCATCGGGTGCACTATAGCGAGGGATTACTGTAGAAATTAGGGCTGCCGAGAACCAAATACCAGTACTCCGCTGCAGAGGATCACGCGAACATATTTGGCTCCCAGTATTCGGACAGTGGCATCTGATGAGCTCTGGTTATGACATCTTCTACTACTTACGTTGCTATTTGTGGGCTTAGGTCTCGCGAGAATGAGGATTCCAACAAGCACGATGACACCTGGGCTGAATGTACTGTATCCGGGCGAAGACACGCACTCAATATGGATCAGAGTTGCACCTCACGATGTGAGGAGTGCGAGAGGACTCAAAGGTGCGGTTACTTCGCCGGTGGCCCTCCTGGACATCGCTGGACTCTTCTCACAGCCTGGAAGAACAATACGGTCCTTCTTACGGATAGCCCCTTTCTGAAATCTGATTGCAGAAGCTAGGCATCCTAGGCAGCTAACTAGCATAGGCAAGACAGCTCTAAACGTTGTCTCCTAGCGTCATATAAGCAGGCGAGAAGGAAAGCCTATACAACATACCGATATCAGGAATACCCTCGACAGCATCTCACTTCACTCCATGCCAAAGTCATCAGAGACACAAATATACACACAGAATATCGAATATCACGCCATGGTTTATCTCATACAACAACGCTTCTTCTACCTTCGGGTCGACAGGTATCATGACCAATACCAAATAAAACGGAAGAGCACCGATCCAAATGCAGCACACGAACCAAACCATGCAAACGCAAACAACTACAGCTTACAAAGAGAAGTGGGCACTCGCGAGTACTCCATCAGTCAACGCTTTTTCTTACTTTACTTTACTCCACCGACCCTTAGATGAGCTCCTGTCGGATAGGCTCGCCAGTGGCATTACCACTGTTGAGTACCTCCTTGGCTGCCTCCATCCTCTCAAGAGCGCCGCGGAACTATAACACCAGGTTAGTTACTTGGACTCTCACCCTTTCAGGGCCTTTCAGGGATCTCAGCGGAAGGTAGAACTTACGGCAAGCACAAAGTTGATCACCAGCGCAGCCATCAACGCGATGCTGATAATCAACGGCCCAACAAGGTTATCGAAATCCTTGCCGCTACGGCCGATGATCATCTTCCTCCGCAGCCTCATCATACCGTAGCCCCAGACACCCGCGAACACGGCAATGCAAATATACACGACGCCCATGACCTCGGCCAGGAAGTTCTCCCCGGCGGCCGTGTACAGCGATACCGCGAGCGCGCCGAGCAAGATGCAAATGTGCTGCCACTTGAGGAACGTGCGCTCGTTGGCCAGCCACACCTTGGGCTCAATCTTGAGCTCGCCCGAGTTCTTGATCCACTCGGTCGGCTCGACGACGCCCTCGGGCAGCTGTTGCTGGTTCTTCTGTGCCCTCCGCGCCTGCGAGTACTTGGACAGAGAGAAGCCGGGGAGCACGGACGACAGCGTTCCGTAGCTCCTCTGGCCGTTGGAGCCCTCGCCGTTCTGGCCGCTCGACGACTGCTGGGACTCGTCGTTGACGGGTCTCGGCTGGGAACGCGAGCTCTCGGCGGCCATCCTGTTGGCCAGGTACGACTGGCCGGCCGGCGAGCTCTTGGATATCTTATACGAGCTCACCTTATTGCCCAAAAAACTGCCGACGGCCTGTTCGTCCTCGGCTCTCTGGGCCTTGCGCTGCTCCTCAGCCTCAAAAGCCACCTGCGGGTCCTTGCGGATGTCTGCCTCCAGGTCGCTCAACCAGAAGGGCAGGTTGTTGACAAAGTCCTCGAACAAGGAGGCGATGCCGTGGACAAACTTGGAGAAGCGGGGCGTAGGGTGTACCAAGTGGGATGCCATCAGATCCGTGATCCACGCAGGGCGCTTGCGGTTGGGGTCCTCTCTCAGCTTAATCTCCAATATGGCGTAGGGGAAACGGGAGACCTCGCTCTGGTTGATATCCTTGAACGGGTATGTCAGGTTCCGGCCGTCAATATCGAGACGGTGCCATTCTGCCGGGTCGCGGCACGGTCTGTCTCTATCCAGCGTGTCCTCGCGGATGAAGGCCACCTCTGTGTCGATGGAGATGCGCACGCGGTCGTCCGCGGGCTTCTGGAAAGCTGTACGAACGTAGTTTGCGCGCAAGACGGGCTGTAGCTTGTTCTCCTGCATGAAACCCTGGAGGGTCTCGACGGTGCTCTTGAAGTTCTCAACCACCTCGGCCTGCTGGCCCTGGCGCTCCATCTTCTCCACCGTCTTCTCCATCTTGTAGGTGCCGTCGATGAAGGGCTTCATGTACTTGTCCTTGATGGGAAATTTACGCTCCTCGCTAGATCCTTGCTCTCCAACAATCTTCTGTTCGAGGAACAGCTCAGGCTTCGCACTCAACTGGCCGTACCAACGCACGCGCAGCGAAGACGCCTCCGCCTTGCGCTCCACCTTCTTCCCGTACAAATCGAACTTTGAGTTATCAAAGTACAGAGAGGTGATGGTCGGGTCGTTGCTTCCATCCAGCTCCTTGGCTGACTGCTCGCTGTAGACAAGGGCCGGCAGACGTCTCATGATATACGTCTTGACCTCCAGCAGGTTATCCGGGTGGACCCAGAACTTGTGGGCAGTGTATCGCTCTCCGTGCCGCGTCTCTCCTTGACTCTCGAGATCCAGCGGCTGCGCATCGCCGGCGCCCTCGTCCAACTGCTGCCGAATGGCATAGTACATGATGGACAGCTTGTTGAGCAAGGGAGAGTACCCCTGCTCCGAGTTGAAGGGCCGTTTCGCCAGGCTCAGCTGCATCATCGGTCGCACCTTGTACCTATCGCCCCTCTTGCGGTCATGCTTCTTGACGATCTTGAGGAAACCAGTATAGTTGATGTTGCTGTACTTCTTCAGCTCCGAGATTTCGGTCGTGATCTTATCGAGCTCCGTCTCAATATCCTTCAGCTTCTGCGCCGTCGCGGCGTCGGGCTTCTTGATCTGGTCGTTGTCCGCCCCCTCATCCTCCTCACTGATCGGCGGGGCCAATTCCTTGAGCTTCTCGAACGCGGCTTCGATGCGGTCTTTCAAGGCTTTAAAGGTCTTCTCCTGAAACGCGGCGACCTTCTCGAGTTGGCCGTTGAAGATCTCGTCGCAGAAGCGATTCTCGTCCTCCTCGGTCCACGCAACATCTTCGTCGTCGTACTTATCTTCCCGCAGCAGCGACTTGAGTTTCGCGTAGTCGATGTACTTGTCCTTCCACGGCGCGTACACGGCCAACCGAAGCGTCTTCCCGAAGCGCATTGCGACGGTCGGTGGTAAATAGGGATCGAGGTTTGGATCTGCGGGAGCGTCGCTCCAGTCGCTTCGATACGGGATGTCGTGAGCCGACAATGCCTGGAGTGGCCGAGGATGATAGAGGTATGTTCTGTAAAGTCTGGCCGTGGAAAATCTCGATTGAGTTGGTCGAAGGGGGAGGTCGTGACAAGAAAAAAACAAGCTTCGGGTTCGGGTGTAACGAGGCAACGCTCGTTGATGTGGCTGGCGCGCGACAGGGGATGCCGAACATAAACCCTCGTCCTTCGCTTCCTTGCTTCGGTCCCAATTCTTCCTGCTCTTTCCGTCGAGCGAGTTCCTGTCGTCTAGTTCAAGCACAGAAGTAGAAACAATCACCAGTCTAACCAGAGATAAAGAGGTATGGTTGCGGATGACAGTTGCAGACGATGGGGTTTGGCACCTGCAAGAAGGCGAAGCTTGGTCTGTGTTGCTCGCGCGGCCCCACCACTTTCCCGTCCCAGCGCCGCAAAGTTCCACAGTCCCGTTACGTAGCGCGGCAGCCATTGTCCTATCAACAGCTGCACTCAGAGGCACGTGTGTTCGCTACAGACGCAGCTTTGCAGCTACGAAACCCCTCCGGCGGGGCGCCATCGACTGTTGCCGAAGGTATGCGAATTATTACCTTGCAGATGGCCGCATCGGCAGAATTACGCCGGTTCAATCGCTACATGGAAATGGGGTGATGCAGAATACGGGTTCGTCGTATAGACAATGTAAAATTTTTTTTAACTCATGAAAGAATGACCATTATCATTATCCCTTCAACTCCTAATACAGCCCATCCAGTGAAAAATCAAGTCCCGTTACTGTAGGCCGTTAATGCCCCTTGACCCAATTCCCTAGGTCGTCTAATCGTCTCACGCCACAAAGTCCACCCCCGAGATGCTTAGTTGTTGAGCCACTGGTCGACGGCAGCATCAACCTGCTTTCTGTACTCCTGCTGGGTCTTGCACTGCTCCAAGAACACCTTGTACTTGGCATCGAACAAGAACTTCTCGCCCTTGAGGGTGCCGGGCTTGACGAGGCGGCCAGGCTTGCTCATGCGATCCATGATGGACCACAGATTCTCCGTTGTGCCATCCTCGGTCGCGGTCGCCGCTTTGGCGCCAAGCATGGCAGCACCGTGGACAACGGCCGCGTTGGTGTACTTGGGTACCAACACAGGCATGTCGCAGATGGTGGCCATCAGGTCCATCAGCAGTGGGTTCTGGCACTGACTGCCGGACATAAAGATCGTGTTAAGCTCGTGTCCGGACGTGTTCATCGCCTCAACAATCTGTCGAGTCTGCATGGCGATGAACTCCATCGTGCCGTAGTACCACAACGCCAGGTTGTCCGTGGTCTTGTCGCTGCTCAAGCCAACCACGGCACCCTTCATGTTTGGGTCTGCGACGGGTGATCTGTTACCCCACAGGTCACCGTACAGGAAGAAGTGGCGACCCAGATACGAGATTGACGGGGCACCGCTCTTCTCACGCATGTATTCCAAGTGGGAGTTTAGGAACTCGTAGATGTTCTTTGACTCGGCCGTGGCGAGGGCGTTCGTCTCGACGAAGGCAGGGTGGATTTCGAGAATGTGTCGAAGGAGCTCGCCGGTGGCAGACTGTCCGCCCTCGGCCATCCAGAACTCAGGGAGCAAGACGTCTCGGTACGGACCCCAAACACCAGGCACGAACACTGCGTCTCTGGACATGGCCAAGTGGCAGGTAGATGTACCGGCAACCGCCGCGAGTCTGTGGAAGGCTTGGGAGAGATCGTTCTTGGGTTGGTCCGCCTCAAGATGGCCTGGCGGAAGCTCGACCTTGGCGCCGACAGTACCAATCCAGCCGGCGTAGGCATCAATAACACCACCGCCGACTGCGATACCCTCGGGGAGGCCGAGCTCTGCTGCGGCTTTCTTGCAGAGACCGCCCACGAGCTCGCCGGCGCTCTGGTATTTTCCGTTCTGTGAGAATCCAAGTCAGTTAATTGCACTTCTACCTCGACGCTGAAGCAACAGAGGAGCAGGATTCAAGGAAAAAAGGCTCACCACCCCGTTGACACCACCCATACGCTTAAAGTCGTCCTGAACAAGGTCCTCAAGCCCAATCGTAGTCAGGAAGTCCTCCTGCCAGCCCTTGACGCTGCCGTCAACACCGACAGGGACGTAGCCTTGCTTGCAGACGGTACTGCAGAAGCTTCGCGTCTCGTTGCCAGTGGCCATGTGGGTGAGCGCATCAGCGAGATCGTAGAACTTGCAGCGATCGAAGAGCTCCTTGGGCATGTTGTTCTTGAGCCACAAAACCTTGGGGATTTCCATCTCGATGCTCATGGTGCCGCCAACGTACTTGAGCAGGTTGTGCTTCGTGGCGTTGATCTTCTCTGTCTCCTCGACGGGGCGGTGGTCCAGCCAGAGAATGACATTGCGGTCGTTACCATCGGCATTGTCAAAGTCGGGGCCAGTGACGGCGACGGGCTCGTCCGTATCGTGGCTGAAGACGGCGAGAGAGCAGGTTGCGTCGAATCCAATGCCCTTGATAATATCAGGATCGACCTTGGACTCGGCGAGGACTTGCTTCACGCAGTGGCAGATGCATGCCCAGATGTCTGATGTGGATTGTTCCTTCCAGAAATGTCAGCGGAGCTCAACATCTCATGAGGGTCGACTGCTGAAGTAATGAAAGCAGGTGAAGCTCTGAGGCGACTTACATAGTATCCGGTCTCTGGCTGCCACAGCTTAATGGGCTCGCTGGCAAGGCCCTTGATGTCGCCAGTCTCGTCAATGATGCATGCTCTGGCTGAACCAGTACCAACATCGATGCCGATGTAGTGGTCCTAGTAAAACACAACAAGTCAATGGTCTGGCTTCTGAAACCCAAGAAAACAAGCTCCAATCTGGCCTAACTCACGAGAAGCTGGGGAGGTGCAGTGGATTGGACCCTAAAGATATCTGTTAGCTCTTGTGTACATCGTGAACCTTTGGGCCAGCTCAATTGCTCGGTCGCAGGAAGGTAGGCAACTGGGTGTAACAGTGGCTGAACTTACTCCATTGTGCAGACAGGGGAAAGAATTACTCAAATAGTAAGCTCTTGATCACACGCCGAGGAGAAACGTGTAAATTCTTTGGAAGTCAGTAGCGGGAGCAAAGAAGGAAAGCAGAGGTGGTGAGAAAGTGAGATGGTGTAGAGCTTCTTGGGCAACAGTGGTATTGTTGATCAACAAAAAAAAAAAAAAAAAGGTGACGGGAGCTCTTTCTTAAAAGAGCACCTCAACACGACCAGGAGGGGGAAGGTAAGGTAAGATTCACTGGAAAGGAAAGGTACAGACCAGACCTCCATCATCGGCACACACCTTTAATTTTTTTCGTCCCTTCCTGTGACGAAAGGGAGGGGACGGGAGCTTGGTTCTTGCCTACTTTGCTTGATGGCGGCCGGGTGCTTCTTCCACCGTAAGGTACGGTAGCTAGTGTTGCGCCTAGGTACCTTCCATAGGACCTGGACCCCTTTTGCCCCTCCAAGTGGGGTAAGGTGTGTAAGGTACGTACAAGAGCTACCCTGTCACTGCCTGCTTACTGCCAGATGGGATGTACATGATGCAAGACAAGGCCAACCAGCCCCTCGGATGGCAAAAAAGATGTCACAGCAAAAGGAAAGAAGCCATAAGCATGTCCGGTTGGGATCCGCGTGCCACTGTGGTGTAAGAGCTGCAGTTCCAAGCGCTATGCCCCCCGGGGGGATTCCAAGCTGGGACTACACTCGGGACGGGGGCAACACCGAGGGCATGGAGGGGTGGAGGGGCAAAAATCCATCCTTAACCGACATCCGCACCACCCCCCCCGTGCCCCCGCGTCCCATCAAGAGTTAGAATCTTGGGGGTTCCATGGGGAGAGGGGGGCAAGGGTGACCTTTTGGGATATGGTACACCATCCGTAAGGTAATAGTGTGGACTGGTAGAAAAAGATGGTCAAGCCCACCTGACAATCTCGTTCCATATTGGGAACCACAAGCAGCAATCCAGAGCTGGCGGGGGAAAGCAGTGTGGCAGATTGGCAGCACTCCATGCAACCATGCAGGAAGGTGATGGGATGCTCGGGGAAGCTGTTGGAAAGCCGGGGAGGTTCCTGGAAGGGAGCCGGCCCAGAGGTTCCAGAAGCCCAACCATTCCCGTCAATTCCAGACTCTCAGAGCCACAGGGCCTGCAAGCCTCGTGCTTTCCAAAGTCTCCGGACCAAAACCTCAACACCAACTTTGTTGATCGTCTACCGTCTGGCTGGCGTCTACCGTTCTGACACTCCTCCCAACTGATGTGTGACACAAAGAGATTAGACATGACTAACTTGCCTGCAAGACTGACTGAGCGGCCCGCATAAAAGCACAGCAAGCCCCCGTCATGAAATATTCATCATAAGAGTCCAGGGAAAGAGAAAAAAGATGCCTCGAATTTGTGATTCACTGCATGTGTTTTGTAGACACAATAAAATGTTCTTATTGAGGCTGCCCTCCAGCTGTATTAATAGTTCCCTGAGATCTGCAACATCTCTTTGTCTCCTGTCAAACTCTACGATGGTTGGGACCGCGGAGCTGCGAAACCCTTCTCAACCTAACGAGTCTATATAAACGGTACGATGGAGTCATCTTAAAGACGATGACGAACCACGCCAAAAGAGGAGAAACACCCTGTCTCAGCCACCCTCCCCGAACTCCCAAGGAACCATAAAAGACACGAGGTCCGGCAAGCCCCAAAACGGTGGGCCGGGGGACTCATCCCGCCCCCGGGTGCCGGCCACCTCGCTCCCCCCGCCTCCTTATGGCAATCAACAGTCCTCCCCCCTCCCCCCTCCCCCCGGCGTAGACTCGCCTGTCCCCCGGCCGTGCTTCCCAACGCCAGCTCTACCGTAAGGCTACCGTTTCCCGCCCGCGCCCGCTCCATCCTGTTTGGTGCCGAAACCAAAGAAAACCCAACGCCATCACTGATCAAACCACCCTTCGCACCCACACCCTCCCTCCCTCCCTCTGTTCTCCCTCTTTCCCGCCTTCATGCGACCCAATCAGTGCCCAACTCGCCTCAGAGTTTTTGTACTGATTTCCTCACCATGAAATCCCAAACGTACTCTGAATCAGCTCTAGCCCGCCACATTCACCGAACCAGAATGCTCCCAAAACTTGCAGGCAATTGTCAAATCAAACATAAGCTGGACAGGGATTCGACAGATAGACCTCCTCTAGCGTAGAGTCGAGACTGTGGACTGTGGGGAGTGTGGGAACCAACGCATCTTCTGTTCCCCCCGCGGGACATGGATCACAAGAGCTCCTGTGGAGTAATTCACACACAAGGGAAATCATAAGCGGAACTTCTTTCCATGCACGTATCTCAAGATTTGTTTAGGGTAACATTCCTCTATTCCGCTTGCTACCTAACCATACCTGTCAGGGCTGCATAATGACCGCCGCGATACTGGGTATTTCGTGTATTAATAAACTCCATAGCTTGGGAGCACGATAACACACGGGAAAAATTCTTTGCGTGCCATGTGAACACCCGACCGGGCTGCCCCTGATGTTTCGCTGTCACCTGTACGGTGTTGCGGTGTGCTCGCCTTCGGTCTTGCCTGACTTTCTTCCCCTGTTCTGGGCCGATGACCACGCCGTCTTCGCTGATGCGGCCTAGCCTTGCCAAGCAGGTGTATCGACTGCGATATCGAACTTGGTCTGCCGATCCTTTGTCCGACAACTCCGAACAACGGAGCCTCACGACACTTCATTGGTGTCCGCTTTCCGTTGTTCCGTCTGAGCCGATCCCCCAACGATCGACTCTCTCGCCAGACCGGACCCCATTAAACATTGCTTTTTTGTCCCCTTCACGGACGCGCTGGCAGTCTTGTCGCAGACACGAGATTCCGTGTCGCTTCACCGCCATGGAAGAATGTGATCCATAGCAAGCTGGTGTGCGTGGCTTCGCAATGCGTGATGATTTCGAATTGGCGTCCTGCGGGTTACGATGCAGCAATTGCTGTCGTAAGCAATTGCAGAAAAATCCGAATGCTCAGCATTATGCCGACAGGCGTCTTGAAGAATTTCCGCGTGTTAGTTGTTCAACTCTCAGTAGTCAAGCTCCGCCTTGGGCCATTTGACCGTGTCTTTATCTTTGTCCTTCTTCATCTTTCCGCGAAACGGCTTCTGATCACCCTGGAACCACGGTTAGTCCATGCCGATATTGTGAAACGAGCTGCGACCTGACTTACCTCTGCTTTGCGCTTCTTGCCGTGCGATGGCTCAGGCGCTCTCTTCGTGTACACTGGTGTGCTCTCGCGTGCTTGTGTCGCTTCCGAATGACAGCTATAGTGATATGCTCGATTGCCGACCAGCGTAGTATCCAGCCACACCCATTCTTGAGCAGTCTCGAGCCACTTGTTCTCGAACTTCTCTTGGCAGATGGGGCATTTGCTATTGATGCCGCTGGAAGCATCTGGCACCGGAATGTATCGAGGCTTAGCCTCCTTCCCTCGGCCAGGGCTAGACGCAGAGTTTTCCGCAGTCGCAACGTGGTCGACATCAATGGCCTCTCGTGATTTGAGCCAGTCCTGTATGTTGTTAGATCAATCCAAAATTCTTGAAGGTGGCCATGGCAACTTACATTGTTATCGACATACCAGCTTCGGTGTTGGCCTCGTTTTTCTGCTTCTGCGAGTCGTTGATGTGCCTTAAAGTGCCAATCCATGTGCGCCATCTTCTTCTTCCTACCCTCGTCATCCGTCTTGAATCGCCTGCCACATTGAGTACATTGAGGGCCCAATTGCTCAAAGAGAGACGGTATCAAATGAGGCTGGAACCTGGAAGGACTTAGCATTCGTGCCTTCGGCAAGATTCAGAGACAAACTTACTGTTGTTTCAAGGCTGCTGCATCGAGCTGGTTGCCACTCATGCCCCCAAGCGGAGGGATCGGTGGCAGTTGGCCGGAAGCCAGCAAGCTGGCAATATTAGGGGGCAAGAACCCGGGAGGCATCATAGGCATCCCTGGAGGAGGTACTGGTGCCGGGGCTGCTGGCGTCGGCGTTGCGCTCGGGGCTGCTCCGCGAAGGATTCCCGCTTGCCGTAGGCCGGCCAGCAAAGCCATAGGATCTGTTGCCGGCGGCGCACTGAGCTGTCTTTGCGGCTCGGCCCTTTGTTGGGGAGGAGAGCGGATCGCCATGCTGGCATGAGGAGGGGGTGGCGGCGTTGAAAGCTGCGGCGTGGCTGACTGTCGTGACAACAGAGCAGCAAGAGCCCCTTGACCCAAGAGGGCATCAAGCGTCACTCCAGCTTGCTGCTGAGGCAGGCCAGATGGTACTACAGGCGCCGCAGGTGGCGGCGGTGGATGATGAGGAACGGTTGTAGCAGTAGGGGTTGAGCTTTGGGCCGAGAATGGCCTCACTTTTACGGCAAGATCGGCTACTTGATTCTTAATAAGGACCAATTGGTCCTGGGGCAAGTTTTGGTGTTGGAGCAAGCTCTGCACATCCAACAACGCCTTCAGTCTTTGTTGAATACTATGGTCATGGGGGTTCTGCGCAAACTCCAACTTCGACGCATCGATCAACTTCTGGATATCTTGACCCAGCGAGTCTTTGTTTATCCCAGCAGCCTGGGGAGATCCTAAGAGTCCGGCTGCGTATGGCATCTGCGGCGGGGGTTGATAGGGACCAGAGGCTGCCGAAGGTTGAGCACTGTAGGATGGCGGAGGAGGCTGTAGGGTCTGTCAGTGGGTGATACCAATTATTAGATAGTAAAAATGAACATACTGCATAAGGTGCCATCTGCGGGTGATGTGGGAGCGGCGCACTCGGAGGTCGGTTGCCATTCGCTTGCGGCATAGGCGGAGGTTGACCGTATGGCATCGGCTGATTTGACCCAGGTCGCATGCCCGGCGGTGTTGGCGTTTCGCGGTACGGTGCAGCAGCAGCAGCAGGTCGGCCGCGACCTCCTGGCCGTCCTTGCTGAGCCTGAAGCGCGGATGTGCGAGCCTTGATGAGGGCACTCTCGATGGGTGCCGTCACTTCTGACGCGAAAACTGGACGCTTGTCTAGAGATCCAGGAACAGGCTCCTTCCAGGTGCGGAGCATTTCGTCCATCTTACGGCGAACCTGGCCATCGACAGCGGCGTATGCTTCCATAAATGTTTGGTATAGCTTTGCTCCGAAGAACAATGTGTACGGAGTGCCGACATTCTTGACGATCGAATCGAGGACGTAGAGGGCTGGGAGCTTCTTGTGCGCTGGCGCCTGTCAAACATGTCAGCATGAATCGGTCCTTTGGGGGAAGGGAGCTTCGTGACTTCCCAAGCAGTGCTTGAGAAGGACTTGGCAGATAACGCGGGCTGTTACCCGAAAGCTGAAGAGTAGAGCCTACCTTCATGATGTGGTCCTGCAAAACTTCAGAGATGACTTGGGCATGCTCGGTCTGCTCTCTTGCAATCATCGTCAGATTGCTAATTTCGAATCGCACATTGGTAGTCAAGTCCTCGAGAGCTTGACGATAGTCCTCAGCGACCTCAGTGGCGGACGACTCGTACGACATGATTGAAGTTATTCCTGATGGCGATATCCTTGATGATAGATGTTTGTCTGTCAAGAGCACGCGATGGCGAGCGAGATCTGCAGGAAAGCGAGAACGCAATGGCAACGGGGAAGATTCAAATCGACCTCGAAGTCAAGCGCCTTCACCGTATGCAATGGAAAGCACAATGAACCACCCTTATTATGGAAGAGCACCAGTCTGCAGCTTGGAAGGAGAGACGACGCAGGTAACCTAAAGTGGAAGGGGCTGATTTGCAGATTCCAATTCTCGCGTCCAGACCCTCTTTCTGCTCAAGTCCTCCGCACCAAAAGCCAACCAAATCCAAGCAGAGAGCAAGGACACCGTCACAACATTATCCAGTGGAGGTCTTTCGCGTCCGCTTCAAGGGTGCGATGGAGCCTTCGCAGATGTTGACGGTCGCCAAACGTACGCAGCACGCCGCGAGAATGGCGTAGACAAGGAGCAAATGGGAGTGGAAGTGGCAGTTGGGTAGTCACAAATTTTGTCGCAGCGAGACGAATCAACGAGACGAAAAGCGTTTGACTGATTTCAGATCAAGTCGAATCAAATCCTCGCCGTGTGTGATGTCGGTCGCGAATTGTCGTTGTGTTTGACGGATTGATGTTCAATCAGCAGCAAGTCTGGGGGAGAGGAATTTGACGTCGGGTCGTGAGGTCAATGGAGGTAGGAAGTGACAGTGAAAGGCAATGACGGACCCACCCGAGCTCACGTGCCTTGGGCAACCAAACAACACGGACCAAGCAGGGAAATGGCAGGAGCCCGGAAGGTGCGAGTCACCTTTGCTGACCTCATCCTAAAATTTCCTTATCTTATCTCATCTCCATGGCTAAGGTACCTCCATCCTCATGGAAAGTACGGAGTACCTTGACTGACTTCCTTGGGAATTACGTCTTGGGCAATTTCAATCCTTTCGTCGACGTGGAAGATATCTTTAACTTATAAACAATAATAGTAATCATGCATTTACGGTATATTTTGATATGCAGGTAAAAACATATTAAGGTACCTTACATCGATGAGGTCTAGTCCAGTTAATTTCTGTGTGTGAGTCCTCGGATACCTGCTCCAGACTCAAATACAGTCACGCAACTTAGGGTAGAGCTTGAAGACGGTGCCTCTTGCTGTCTCAACAGTCTACACGACTGCACCCGAAATGACTGATTCCGATGAAATAAGGTATGCTTAAGAAGTGAATGGTTTCAGGGTTCCTATGATACCTCTCTTCATTCATTGAGAACCTTACCCCGAAATCTTGGGTAACCGCTCGACCTTACAAAATTGAAACTTGACAGTGTGACTTGATGTAGAGAAAGGGTGGTACAACAAGGCAAGCTGTGTCCGCCACTAAGCTGAATTTCACCTGAAGGTAAACAAGTGATGCATGAAGACTCAGTTCAAGAGCAATGAAGTGTTGAATGAGGCGCGAGAACCACCTGCAATCTTTATCCATCTTTACAAACGGGATGTAATATAGGGTAGTTAATAATAAAAGGCAACATCCTACTGAAGAAGGTGATGTTAGACGCCAGCACTGCCACGGTGACCTGGCCGGGGCCACATCGTACAAGACTGGCGGCAAGGGGTTTTCTCTAAATTGGACAGATAGACGCTGCGATATGCGGCTCAAATGATGGAAGTACATCTTTAGGAAAGGTCTGTATTTAGAATAGCTCTGGAATTTGGCGGCAATACTTTCTTTTTGGCGCGCGTTCTCGTAAGTACGGATACGACACTCTAACTGTGGTCTCGAGAGTGGAGACATCGTCTACCTCACTTACAGGCGGCATCACGAAATGAGGTGGTACGCGGACGGGCGCTTAACACTAAGCGGCCTTCTTGACGGGCCACAGTCGTCACATATAACTTGGAAATCGAATGCGGACCCCATCTGATGCACCGGAAGCTGGTTGGAGGCACGGTCGCTCTGCAATCTGTAGATGCACGCCTCTTGTCCAGTCTTTTGGTTTCACGATCAGGTTTCATTCCTTTCTGGCGATGCAGCTTGTAAGTGATCATGGCGGCGTGGGGAGTCTTCAACCGCCTACCTCAGACGGATGCACGAAGAGCTATGGCCACAGCCAATGGCTGTGTTCGAGGGGGGCCGAGGTCAGCTTTCCCAGACATTGTTGTTCTGAGGATTTGTTATTCAGCTGGTCTGATATATCTTCTTGGAAATGAACTTGCATATGCCTCGGGATGTTCTTCAACGGCCGGAGAGACATAACCGAACCACCGGGGCTTGGGCATATAACCCCCAGCCCGTTATGAATTCATCACTTGCTTTGAGTCAAGATTTGATTTATTTAGAATACAGTAGATCTATCCACTGGCATAATCGGATATTCAAGAGTATAAAAAGACCTATGGTCTTGTCGGTATGACGGTGGGGACTCCGTACCGGAGGTTTGGGGCTCGCCCGTGCTGCGAAATCGCACTCGGAAGAGCCAGCTACGGGCCTACGGTCTGCGGTCTTCAAGTCTTCACTGCCGCAGGGTGGGACGCAGGTACCTTGCGTTGCCGCTCACACTGGAATTGGCCCATCAAGCCCAACTCTCTGCAGCGAATCGGTACTTCTGGCGCCTGCAGGGGTCGCCCAGCGGACATGTGGTGCCTGGCATTTCGGCCGGCGGCTGTCTTTGCTAAACTCGCATGAAACAAAGTCTCGTCGCCCGTCATCCAATCAATCCGGCATCGCGCCCGAGAACTGAGAACTTGCCATGTCCCTTCCACTCTCGACTATTCACTTTGTTTGTAATCCTGAGCAAACCTCCCGTCTACCGTACCATAAGGACCCCTACCTTGGATCCCGTCTGGACCTCCCAATGCTTGAATATTCGCCTCCTGCTCCGCCAACTCTGTACCTTTGCCGCACTCTCATAGGTTCGTTGCGCCTGCTTTGCTTGCCCTTGAACATGCTGCAGCAGTCCGACTTTCAGCGCACGATTGGATGAAAACGGCCCACGGCATGTTCATGCCACCCTTGTCTGCCATGGTCTCTGCTCTCTAGACCCTCCGTCGTCTCGTCTTTTGCTCTTTGTCGAGCTGGGTGTCATGGGTGTATCTTCTTCGACGAGCTGGAGGGCGCCACAGGTTACCAGCAGCTCCACGATGAAGATGGTGTCACTCACATGCAGCGAGGCCACCGCTGCCCGACCCATATCGTGAAGACGAGAAGTGACTGGCAGATGAAGTTGCTAGCTGCTCTGGGCTGCGCGTGCTCGACCAGGGGTCTCATTGAAACCACGTCTGGTCGCCGCATGGCGTCGTCTGGAACCTCAACCGCAGGAAGCATAGCACCTCGTCCCGCTATCACGTTCTCGAGTCCTCGATACGCGTCTCTCCATGATCCGTCCTCCATCCCGCATATCTCATTACCCACACCCCCGTATCCTAGTTCTCATACCGCCCGGGACGTCGAGGGATCGTCCAAGCCGTTCGTGAGAGAACCCATGAACGCTCCATCGCCTCCCCTCCATCCCCCATGTTGCGTCTCCGCCGACGCATCCCGGCCCTGATGGCCCTCTGGCGCTGCCAGAATGATTGGGTGCTGGTTGCGCGAAACTTTTGGCTGCGATTCGAAACGGCGAATGGGGAGGGCCACCGGGCAGGCTCCCTTTGGTCAAACCATACGTGACTTTCACTTTTGCCTTGTCGCTGGGATGACAAAATTCCAGGTGACGTGCAGGAAGAGAAGGAATAAGGGCACTGCTCTGAGCAAGGTACGGATTACCGCAAGTGCTTTGCATTACTTTTTCACCCCATGTTTCTTTAAGCTCAGGTTGTGGGAGAAAATCCCAAGGTCAATCAGGGTCTTGTCTGTATTAAAGGAGAAGGAGCTCCCATCCCTCCTTCCTTTGACGTCGAACCTACCCACCGGTCTTTTTGGCAGGAGCTTCCTTCCCTCTTTCCCCCTTTGAACAGCTGTGAACAGATTCTGTTCTTGGGCATCTACTAATCCTGGTCGCCTACAATCTTTCCCTCCTCATACCCTCAACTCCTTCTGTCCTTCTTCCTTCGTGAAGTCATCAACACTTTCTCTACATCGCCAACCCTCCTGGACTGGTTTCCGGGAATATTTTTCTACTGTCTCTAATCAAAACCTCGCGCTCGGTACACTAGCACCGAATCACTAGTCGCTTGGATTACCTCATCAGCTTGGACTGACCGAAACTATTGCTACGGATCTCATCAATATTGAGCTTACCACCAGCCGCTACTCACCCAATACTCTCCCTACTTGTATGATGGCTCACTCTTCGTCAACCTCGGCCTTGTCACTAATGCTACCCCAGGACCTCGATACTCTTCACCAGAGCTACCGAGTACTCGAACACATACGACTGCCCCGAAACTCGTAATCGTCGCGACTGCTATTCTCGAAGTGCAATCGCAGAATGTTCAACCTCTCTGAAAACTCCAGCCTTCGTGGCTCGGGTCACTTGATCCTCAACGTCTTCCGAGCGTTCAACATCATCGGCCTCTTGGCCGTGAGCGCCGCCACATGGACCATGATCGTCATGTCCATTCTCAAGGGCAACTTTGCCTTCTTCGATTCGGCCTCCCGCTTCTTCACCTTTTGCTTCGCCGTCTTCCTCATTGTCTCCGAGCTCAACGTCTTCCGCGCCTACTTTATGCGCAACTGGCCTACCCTCTCGCCCGAGCATGGCCTCAGCTGGCTGGGAATCGCCATGGTCGTCATGGGTTGCCACGTTCTCGCGGGTATCACATTGCCTGCCTACTCTGTTGAGACCATCGGTCTTCCTCTTTGGCGTCTCATCCTCGCCTCGGGTATTCTGGCCATCACCTTTGGTTTCTTCAACATCGTCTCGTCCATCGTCTTCCGGGATGGCAGCAACGGCATCAACGCCCGCAACATTCGCAGCGACGGTACCCTTGCCTCCGGCAAGAACTCGTACGCTGACGGATACTCTGTCAGAAGCAACTCGATTCGCAACGAGAAGCCGAACAATAAGTTCAAGCGCCTCACGCAAAAGTTCACACCTTGGAGCAAGAGCAACGATGACACCAGCCCTCGCCCCAACATTAGCCACCCTATCACTCACGACGTCGAGCAGGGCCATGAATCAGAGCCTGACTACGACGAATCCCGCCGCAGCCCCATCATGCCTGATATCTCTCGTCCGGCTACTGCTCTACACCCCGCCATGGCTGGCCACCGCCACACCAAGTACAGCCTGGCCAGCAACGTGAGCCGCTTCTAAGGAGCGGTGATTACTGTTCGCGCGCGAGTTGCTTCTCTGTCTCTAGGAGACGGGGATCGATGGACTTCACAGCAGCCTTGGTATTACAGAATATGCATCCCTATTGGGCAGGGTGGAAAGGCGTTTCACGGATGATTTAGTTTGGCTTTGAAAAAATACCCGGCACGACGGCACGGTGTACGGCGAGGAATATGAGATTTGGGAATCTTTCTTCACTGATCATGACCAGCAATCAGTTACCAGCATTAAACAGAAGTAGATGCACGATTGAAGGATCAGTCATAATTATAAAGCTTCATTATCAACTTGAATTAATCGTGTGCCGTAGGCGATGACGACTGTGAGGACTGTCTCATGTCTGAGAGGACATCGTCAAGGAACATCGCAAGTCCCAGTAAGATGTGAGGTCGAGGGCTTTCAGAGGAGAAGACCCATCACACGATCGTCCCCGCAGGTGATCCAGATTGAAATCCCAGTCCCCACACTATCAAAACCCTGGCACAAATTTTTGAACGGATACGGATACTGCAGTAGAAAGGGGCACCCGCCTGCTAAATAGTCGCCTTGGACCAATTGTTGTAAACCTGGGGAACGACCAATTTGAGTAACAATTATATGGTGGGAACGGAGTTAAATCGCACATTACACGTAGGGGAGGGGATAGTAGGGACAGCCAGTTTTTTGTTCAAGTTTATCACATTGAAATCACATAATTCATCATTTTTACGCCGAGCCCTCCAAGTTTTAAGTTAAGAACCTCGAAAAAGTTGTGTTCCATTTTTCGTATCGATTGAGCCTTTTGACCTCTGGGACTCAAGCCAGAGGAAGAAGAACACTCCAGCGCATGATATCAAGTGCTTTCCCAAGTCGTGAAAGTAGTGGCCATATCCCGAATACCTTCCATGATGATGATGATCCACCGCCGTCGTCGTGTCCTCCGCGAACACCACACCTGGCAGCCGAAGCCGTCCTCGTAGCAAGACAGTAGTAGTACGCGAGCGGCCCGGTAGCCTTTTCAGAATCGTCCAGTGCGAGCAGTGGGCGAAACCGTTTACCGGTAGCGCCACAGGGACAGGGTGTTGTGGCGCTTCCAGGTCTTTCTGCGGCCGGCCTGGGTCTTGTTGTAGCGGTGGCCCTTGTTGAGACCGCGGGACTTCTTGCCGGTGGCGGTGAGACCGCGAGCCTCGCGGTGCTTGTGGACGGGGGCGACGATCCAGTTGATGCGGGGGTCCTGGCGGATGGCCTTGTGCTGGGGGTCGACGAGGATGACCTCGTAGTACTTGTAGGTGGAGTCCTGGTTAACCCAGTACGAGTTGAGGACGCGCAAGTTGGCGCAGCGGCGGCCGACACGCTCCTCGGCGGTGGAGGCGAGGGAGCGCTGGTACTTGAGCTGGTTGACACCCTGGTTGGTGGGCTTGCCTGTGTGATTCCAATGCTGTTAGTAAATCCGTCCATCTCTCTGGTGTCGAACGAGGGGACCAGTTCGCTCTTATTGAAGAGCTGTAGACTGTCCCTCTCGTATGGAATTCGCAACGTACCGAAGGTGGCACCCTTGGCGACGGGCTTCTTGCGGCCTCCACGGCGGACGCGGGCACGGTAGATAACGTAGCCCTGCTTGGCCTTGTAACCGAGGCGGCGAGCCTTGTCGGGGCGCGAGGGACGCGAGGCGCGGTGAATGACATTCAGCTGTCGGAGCTATATTGATGCACTCTCAGCAAATGTTCAACGAGTGTATAGCAGGAACGCAAAGTTTTCCCTGTCTCCACTGTCCCTCTCGATACCCTCAACCGAAATTTTGAACATCGAGACCCCTCCGTAGAAGGGAATCCAGTATCGAAAAAAATGGTTTCGGGCGATCGAGAGAGAGAGAGCGGGATCGAGGGAATTGAACTTTGTCGTGCGTCCACATGGTATCGGAATCGGGTGGTTTCAACGTACTTCCCAGCAGCGGACACGCAGAAGGAAGCGCATCACATCGGACTGCTTCTTCTTCTGGAGCTCTTCGACATACTTGAGGGCACCCATTTTGACTGCGGCGACGGCGTCAGGTTAGCCTCTTTTGATTTGACAGGTGTGATGAACTTGGATAAAAGAGAGCGACGAAGGTTGTCGAAAAGAGGGAAGGGGGGAGGGGGACAAACCAGCTGTTCACGTAAAATCCGGCTGCCGAGGTTTTGGTGGTGGTGTTGATGAATTGGACGACGATTGAGAAATGTTCGAGTGGAAGGGGAAAAATCGAGGAAGGGTAGAGTTTGTGCGGTCGTACTAGTCCTGAAACGGCTAGCGCAACTGGGGCTGGGCTTGCCCCGAACCTAATTATGGGTCTCGCATCTCGGTGTATGCCATTTCCTCGGTGAGATGTGCTCGGTGTGTTTAGGCGAGCAGGATTTCTTCCAACAGGCACGTTTAGGGGCACTGTGGGACCAGTATGATTCTTCGCGGTACGGAGTAAAGAACGACTTGTTCGTTGGACTTTGACTACCCCATGAAACCGATGTTCATTTCGATCTCGACTTCCACTCTCGCTACGATTGATGCTAGATTCTGGGTCCAGATTTCACCTTTCCCACCCATATCACAAAATCTCAGAGGGGTCTAGATGGGAAAAGGCTCATGAGCAACCAACGTCTTAGGCATACTTTATGCTACATCGGTCAAATACAACTTGCAGCGATATAGTGATGATGGATAACTGTTCTGTTCTTGTCGATTCATAGTTACATCCTGTCCTCCGATCGAGCTTACCCACGCGTCCGAATCCGTCAAGTTTTCTCTTCTCTACACGTACTCCTTTGCCAACATTGTCAGTGTCCTGACTTGTAGACACTTTCAAATATCCTGACTTTACGGCCCATCACTATGATTCGATGGTGGTTTTCCGTCTTGGGCACAAGCAGCACGAAGGCAGTAAATCATCAGCAACATGAGGCGAGGCCTCAGCATTCAAGACGTGCATATCACAGAGCACACATGGAAGCGGAAAGGCATTGAGTTTCTGATCCTCATGTTCTCAAGTCCCTAAAAGTTGACAGAAAAGCAAAATCTTTCGTACAAGAATCCGACATTGGCCCATTACCCAGAAACACAAGTCCCTTTTTTTTTTAATCTCGGGTTACACCATGCTTGTGTGGAAAAAAGTAAAAAAAGAAGTCTCTCTGTCTATGACGGTAGTGCCCTGAGTAGTAGTGAAAGTCTCTCAATCTCCTCTTGAATCTCTCATTCATCATGAATTTGGGGGTTCTGCTGGTGGAAAAATAGGCCGTGGTTGCTGAGTCTCGAAATAAGCCTGTAGAGTGAAAGTGAAAATGAAAGTGTGTGGGAATCCAGCATGTCTTCCCATTTTTTGTGCTTTATGTCTTCTTTTCTCTTCCGAAAGAAGCACAAAGGTCCCGCCGTTTTTGGGCAATTCAAAAGCAGAAAAGTTGAAGCCGTCCAACTCCGAAAGTGAGAAGAAAAAGAAATGTCTTGCCAGACTCTGCAGCCCAGGCTATGCTTACAACGCCACAACCATGCCAACCGTAGCCATGTACGATGGACCGTTGGGCCGACAGTGCGTTCAAATGCGTCGAACAACGAACACAAGTGGAATGCTCGTTGAGAAGGTCGACGTTGTGGCGGAAGATGAAAACCAGTGTCGTGGTCACTTCCAACATCAAGCGCCTCATCAGCGACTATTCAAGGAAAGGCCCTGAAATGCGGTAGCCCATTCACTCTGAGTGTTCATCGGGCCCACGCCCGACTCGTGCGGGCCAGGTCCGTCTGTTCCCGGCTGGAAACGAGACCGCATCTGATAGTCAGCTGCGCCAGGGAAGCTGTAGCTATCAAGCGATGGAAGAACTCCAGGGACGTAGGGCATGTTTCCAGGCCTGGGCGCAGTGCCCATGCCGCCCATGTGCGAATAGGGGTAATTCGGTTGACCGTAGCCACCGGCCGGGCCTCCAGGTCTTTCACCAAAAGGCGGGGTGAACGAGTTCTGAAATCCACGGCCAGGTGGGCCTGAACCACCGAATCCTCCAGAGTGCTGATCCTGGTTCTGCTGCTGTTGCTGCTGCGCGGAGCGTCGCTCGGAATTGTTCGATCCACCACGACCCACGCCAACGGCTCCGGGTCCGACGCCGCTAGGAGCCTGGATACCCAAGGTGGGACTGGCGAAGGATGCCGGGTTGATGGCCGACATCCAGATTCTGGTCTTGTAGATCTTGAACAGATCCGTAACGAGGGAATTGAAGTTGATGTACGAATCAGCGAAGTAGTAGAATGTCAACTTCTTCCAATCCCTGTGCACGGTTAGTCTCACCTCTCTTTCATCCGGCTCGTCTATAGACTTACATTTGAAACTCAGCATCGAGAATCTCCATGTTCAGCCCATGTTCCTTGACCTTTTGCATGCAGACTCGCTTGGCCTTGGCCTCGTTGCCCTCCTTGTCCCGCAAGGCGTGGATCTCGTGACTCTGTGCCAAGCGCTTGATGAGCTTAGGCTTAAGCTCTCCAGCGTTGGGCTCCTGCATATGGCCGTGCTGGTTTGGCGGACCCATTCCGCCGACAGCGCTACCCTGGAGACCATTCGCGGCCGCCATAAGGCCGGCGCCTGTGCCGTCCTGAGCAGCAGCAGCGTTCTGAGAATACATCATCAGCCACTTGTACTGCTCCTCCGCGTAATGCTCCTTGAGCTCCTTGGCGGTCTGCCAGTCAACGTTGTCACGGGCGACGGTGCCCAAGTCAGTTCCTCGATCAGCTTCAACGATGACGAGATCACCAGGCTTGACGGTCAAGCCGGTACCCTCCTGGATGTAGAAGACATCTGCTCTAGCACACTTGAACAAGACAATGTGGAGTAGCTGATTGTGACGCGGCTGCGACATGGCGTATACATTGCGATGAGGCGAAGGTGCACGGTTTCCGTAAGGAGGGTGCATCGAATAAGCCGATGGGAAATTGTTGTTGAACTGCATGCTCTGAGGGGGAGCAGCAAGACCTCCACCAGGAGTAAAGTAAGCAGCTATGTTTAATGAGTCAGCTTAATTCATGCCAAAGTAGTAATGCAGCTTACCTGTATTGCCGAGGGGGTAGTTCTGGTTTTCCGAGTAGGCCAGGGAATAGTCCTGGGTTTGCGGCTGCTCAGCTACGGGCGTTTCGAGCGCACTGAAGGACTCGTTGATGGAGCTGATGGAACCTTGGCGGGTGGGAATATCCGCAAATGAATGTCTACGGCTCTGCTGGCCT